GCCGTGTTTACTATTTTGCGTTTACCGCTGCTGTAGACTCCACCCCACAATTTCTGCAAATTACTTTCGGACACATCCACCCCCTCTCGCCAAGATTTCTTAAAAAGAGAAGCGAGCAGTACCTTACGCGGCCGAAGGCCGTGTTTACTATTTTGCGTTTTTCTCGAAAAATAATGACTTTTGGTAAAAAATGCATAAAACATGAAATGTGTGTTTTTTAGAGATCTACAACTTTCGTCTAAAACTTTTTTCGAAGTTTTTTGTTTTTTACGAGATAATCGAAAAAAACCATGATTTTATGGTGTTTTTTATGGTTTTTACCATGATAATTAAATTTCCGCCAATTTTCACTATGATTTTCGTAATCAGCGCACCAAATTACGTAGGGATACCAAGTTTTATCGAAATCAGAGGTATGTGCTATTCGGAACTATATCCAATGATTGCTTACTCTTTGAGTTCTTTTTGTAAAAGTAGTATGTATGAGTAATTTGTGAAAAAGTGATTTTGAATATTTTACAACTGAGTATATTGTGTGAAATGGCTTTAAATATTTTGTAAAAAGTACGTTGAGTTCTTTGTGTAAAATAACTTTGAATATTGTGCAAAAATTGCTTTAGATACTTTATGTAAAAATGCATTGAATATTATGAAAAAGTACTTCAGATACTTTCTGTAAAAGTACATTAAATATTTTGTTAATAGTGCTCTAGATAATTTCTGCAAAATACTTTGATTATTTTGCAAAAAGTACGTTACAGACTTGGTGTAAAACTACTTTTTTACATAAAGTACCAAAAGCACATATCACACAAAATACCAAAAGCACTTTTTACATAAAGACCAAAAATACATTTCGCATAAAGCACCAAAAGTACTTTTATTCACATAAATTACCAAAAACCATTTTTACATAAAATGCCAAAGTATTTTCATATAAAGTACCAAAATGTTTTCATATAAAGCACAAAAAAGTACTTTTGTAAAGTAACGAAAGTACTTTTACATAAATCACCAAAAAAGTATTTTTCATATAAAGTATCAAAACGTACTTTATACATAAATCATCAAAAGTACTTTTTGCATAAAGTATCAAAAGTACATTATATAAATGACCATAATTATTTTTACATAAAGTACCGAAAAGTATTTTACATAAATTACCAAAAAGTACTTTTACATAAATTACCAAAAAGCACTTTTACATAAATTACCAAAAAGTACGTTTACATAAATTACCAAAAAGTACTTTTACATAAATTACCAAAAAGTACTTTTACATAAAGTACTAAAAAGTACATTTACATAAAGTATTAAAAAGTACTTTACATAAAGTACCAGAAGTACTTTTACATAAAGTATTAAAAAGTACTTTACATAAAGTACCAGAAGTACTTTTACATAAAGTACCAGAAGTACTTTTACATAAAGTACAAAAAGTACTTTTACATAAAGTACCAAAAGTACTTTTACATAAAGTACCAAAAGTACTTTTACATAAAGTACCAAAAGTACTTTTACATAAAGTACCAAAAGTACTTTTACATAAAGTACCAAAAGTACTTTTACATGAAGTACCAAAAGTACTTTTACATAAAGTACCAAAAGTACTTTTACATAAAGTACCAAAAGTACTTTTACATAAAGTACCAAAAGTACTTTTACATAAAGTACCAAAAGTACTTTTACATAAAGTACCAAAAGTACTTTTACATAAAGTACCAAAAGTACTTTTACATAAAGTACCAAAAGTACTTTTACATAAAGTACCAGAAGTACTTTTACATAAAGTACCAAAAGTACTTTTTGTGCGAAATACCAAAAGTTTTTTTTACATGAAGTATCAAAAGTACTTTTTACATGAAGTACAAAAAGTACTTTTTACAGGAAGTATATAAAAGGTAAAAATTTTGTTTAAATTCTGTTAAGTGGGCCGTTCACTGCGGTACTGCAATGCAGAGACAACCCGTGGCAGAATCGGAGCAAGCCCCAGACATTCCGCCGATTTCCAAAAATCAGTTCGATATTCTGGCTCTTCAATGAAGAGCGTATCAGATATCAAGCTGATAAGAACAGATACTACACTTTGATCTTAGCCATAGGGCCGAGAAGCGATAATTTGCAATGTTTTTCGTCCCCTTATATACCCAAAAAGTTGCACAATAACTGCGAGAAAGGTGAAAAAAAGTTTGCCATGCGCCCCTAGCGGAAATTTTTTGAAATTTTCATTTTAGCGCGAAAATTCAAAATTTGTCCATTACGTTCTTGACGCCTTGTCACTTGCCTTCTCATTTAATAATATAATATAGTTGTATTAATTAAATAAATATTAATTAATTAGCAAAAATTTGAATAATAAAAGTTAGTGTTCAATTTGAAAAAAAATTTTAATTTTCGAAATAAAAAAAAATAATTTTTAGTCCCTTTAGAAAGCAATAACCTTAGTTGTAAAAATATATAATATATATATATTTTTCTTTATTCTTGAACTCTGTGCAATAAATGTTTATTATAAAAATAAATTTTTCTTGGATTATGCACTTTCCTAGAATGTATAAAAAATATTTGTTTTATAAACAAATTGATAATTTCTCAGAAAATGTTTATATTGTAATATGTACATATACATATGTATTTGTAAATATATGCAGACAATTAATAATTGTTGAATATACAATTGCAAATTGTCTGGGATATATCTGGGAGTGAGAACTTTTTTTTTTGTTCTTTAAATGAAAATAAATAAATAAAATTTTCCAATGAAAATATTGACCTTGAATTACTATATAATTTATGATACGTTGATCGTAATCGATTACGTTAATATATATATATTTTTTTTTTCATATAATCATAGATTAGTGTGAGATCAGTGGCTTTTCAATCAGAGCACATAGAATAACAAAAACATGCGACCAGAAGATTCATTTTCTCATTATATTAGTTATCGATGTTTTGTCCTCACCTCACTCAAAGGGTTATCAAAATGCTAACGATCTGTTTTATCCTTTTTTTTACATTTAGAAAATATAGGTATATTGATAAACCTTTTGCATATAATATATATTTATTTATTTTTATTTCAATTTATGTCTATAAATAAATCTCCAAGACAAACATAAATATTAAAGGAATATAATGTGTCTTTTTTTAATTAATGATTTTTCGACAAAATTTTCATTGAATTATTCAATACATATAAAAAAAAATCAGTCACAAAAAGAAAGAATATTTATTTTTACAATGATAACATATATCAAGTGTGTAAATTTTTTATTTTTTTTTTTCTTCAGTGTCACTGTGAATAATGAATTACACATTACAATATTAATGTTTATATTTATTTAATTGACTGTTTTCATTTTCTGCTAAAGTTTACTTCCTATTGCTTATTGTAGAGATAATGATAATTCCATCCTGAAATCATTTTTAATTATCTGCTCTCAGTGAGTTTTCCCTGACCCTATCTACTGCAATTTTTTTTTCGCAAAAAAAAAAAAAATATTTCACTTCACACAAGAAAAAATTTTCAATTTCATCAAAGATAAAACAGCGCTGGCGCCTTTTATATTCTACATAAAACATTTACAAATAAATTCCCCAAGACTATACAATTTTACAAAAAATCCAAAACATGAAAATTTTCCTCTCTTTGCAAATATATTTCATCCTGTTTTGTTTTCTGGAAGGACAAATTTTTCCATTTAACATTTAAATTATAATTTCGTATAAAATAATAAGGAAATATAAATTTTATTTATATTTTAATTTACTTTTATTCACCTTGATTCAGAATTATTCGACGAAAGAAAATTAATGAATTTATTATTGTGATAATTTAATAAGAGTTTTTGATTTTTTTTTAAATGCCTTAATGCACAAAAAAAGTCGAAAAAGTCAATTTTTTTTTTTAACAAAATTTAATTAGTTAATCAATATTTTACTTTAAATAACTAATGTTATTAGATATTAAATTCATTTTATTAATTCTGTAATAAGATTCTATAAAAATATTATCAAGAAAATTTATTTCGAATTTCAAAATCGAACTTAATTGTAAGACAAATTTTCAAAATTTTATTTAAGTAGGACAAATTTCTAAAAAAAAAATTCTTAAACTTCCATTTTTATAATTTTTTCAAGTCTTATTTAATCAATTTTTTCGTATTAAAAAATTTTTCCTAGTTTTTAGTTTTGATGGTCAAAAAAATGTCAGGCATTATTTAATCAAGTTTTACAGATTTTTAAATAAAAATTTGTTTTGAAATTTTTATAAATGATTGAATTTCAAAAGATTTTGTTAATTTTCAGACAATAATTAAATTTTATAGAACTAAAAATAATTTATCAAAAATAATTTTAGATAAAATTTTTTAAAAGTAATTGAATTTTCAAAGATTTATAATTTTGATTTTTGAAATTAATTGAACTTCAAGTGATTTTTAATTTAAATTTTTTTTAATGATTTCTATTACTAAAAAATTTATTAGAAATTACAGACAAAAATACAATAATTTGAAAACATTTCAAGTGAAAAAAGATTTTAGATAGTTGAATTTTCGAAAATTATTATAAAAATCATTTAAAAAATAAATGAATTTAAATTTAGAAAAATAATTGAATTTCAATTGATTTTGAATTGAAATTTTGGATAATTAAATTTTAGTTGATTTTAAATTGAAAATTTTGAATAAAATTGAATTTCTATTGAAATTTTTAAAAATAATTGAATTTTGGAATGAAAATTTGGAAATTAATTAATTTCTATTGAATTTTTTTGAAAATAATTAAAGAATTTATTAGAAATTACAGACAAAAATTGGAGTTTAAAATTTTTTAATTATAAAATGCTTTCTGAAAATTGAATTTTCGAACAATACTATTATAAAAATCATTAAAAATATAAAAAAAATTTTAGTGAAGAATTTTAGTTAAATATTTGTTAAATAATTGAAATAAAGAAGATGTATTTTAATTTATAACAATAAATAAAAAAAAAGTTGATTATTAATATTTTGATAATATATTTAATAGAGAAGTTTACACTAAATTCATTACACACGAACTGAATTGATCACGTAATTGAATTTCACATTAATATTATTTGAAAAGCATTCAATTTCACGAATTCCTCGCATATAAAACAATTTTTTTTTACGCTCTTTTACACTTTCGTAATTCGTAGAGAAGAAATTTGTGTGTTTTTTTTTAAATACTTACAGGAATATAATTTGCTAGCGGGATAATTTTACAATTTTCAAGTAAACTTGTCTATATATTACAGAACATACAGGGTTTAACACACACGTATAAACAATATACGACCCTTCAAAAAATGCATTCCATCAATTTTCTTTTTTTTTTTTTTATTTTTAAATCTATGGCGCTTAATTCGATGTCAAAACGAAAATTATTTATTTAATTAATAAATGCTGCAATTGCAGTATTTATTTATTTTATTTTCTTTTTCTTTTAGTCTTTACTCCATTACTATGTATAATTTATATATTTTTTTAATATAATCGGCAGAAATACAAAATGTAAAATGCAAATATATATATATATATATTTTTTTTTTAAGAATGCAAAAAAAAAAAAAAAATTTTAATACCTATTAAAAAATGGAATGCCCAAAAGTATTTATGAAGCATTTATATTATTTTTTTCGTTTCATTTGAAATGAGATCTTTTTTTTCTAAGCGTTAAGGACTAATCGGAATTTTTTTTTTTTTGAAAACATTTCAATGAATCGTTGTAACCATATATAAATATCTTTGTTCTTTTTTTTTTCTCAAAATTATATTACAAATTGTTTTTCAAAATTATTCAATATTACAGAAAAACTTTTTTTTTCAAATTTATATTACAGGAAAAGTTTTTTTTTTTTTTAAATCGAGGTACATAATTTTAATGTGACTAGAGATGCAGCACTCAGTTAATAGAATGGAAACTTTGGAAAAATTGAGAATTTTTTTTTCCGATTATTGCCCTAAATTTTCTTTTTTTTAATCTATGAATCATCTAATCGTTATTATTAATAGTAATAATTTTTTTTTTAAATAAGATTTTCTATTTAGAATATTAGATATTTGACTTTCAAACTTTCCAAGGTCACAGCCAGGCAGTGTTTGAAAAATTACATTTTTCGTTTTTTTTTTGTCTTTCATCTTTCTTATAACTTATTCTAAAGTGTTAAAATTTTTTTTATTAAAATGATTGACATTTCTTTTTTTAAAAGAGAAACTTTTTTGAAAGTACACGCAAATAAAAAAGAAAAGTCATCATTAACAATTTTTTATCCCCCAATAATAATAATATCCTTTACACAGCACCAATTAATAAATAAATAAAGCTAAAAAAAATGTTTATCTCATTGCATTATGTTTTCAATAATATAATCCCATTTTACTGGAATTCTTTTTTTTTAAATTTACATAGAAAATTTTACAATTAAATTGAACAAAAAAAAAAACCTATTATTTTCTAATAAATTTCTCAAGTGAGATGTACTAAAAAAAATTCAAAATGTAGTTTAAAAAACTACTTTAAAAAACAAAATTGTATTTATCAATAAAATGAAAATTTTCAATTTACTGACATACTCAATTTTTCCAGAATTTGTACATCTCTTATTTTATTCTCTTTCATTCTCTTTTTACGTTTTTTCTTTTTTTTTTTTCATTTCAATCACACACAATTAGAAAATCGCGTCATTCCTTCGCTTTTTTTTTATTAATTTTGGTAACGAAAATGTTTGAAGACGCGAATAGATAAGGGATCACAGAAATGCAAGTCCAAATATCTCAAGCAAGAACAACAAAAAAAAAAAATAATAATAATAATTCACCCTTGTAGAATTTATTTAGTTGAGATGTGGCAAAAAGGGCGATGTAAGAAAGCTCTTGGAGATGAAAAATTTGAGAGAAAACTAGGACAATGAATCGCATGCCCTTGATCTCTGACAACAGCAGAGACGACGCAATTGTGCCGCTGGGCCAGTCTCTTGCGATCACCGTTCCTCACTTCCTTCACCAGAACCACCAGTTTCTTGCTCGGGTCGGACAATTTGATAAGTTATCAAATATTCAGGATATGCCTGCTCACCTCTATAAACCACATATTCTGGAAACACTAAACCTCCTTGCGAAGGTCGGCCCATTACACTATGGTGTCCAGGTGGTGCGTGCGCCATTTTCATTGCCGAAAATTGCAGAAATGATTTTCCAAGCGTTACACGACAAAGTAACAAATGCCTGTAATTTAATTCAATTAGGGCCAGTTTCATCAACTCCGGTTAAAAGTTAATCAGCGATTAAATCCCTAACCGACCAATCATGAGCGTTTAAATTGGCTTTAATCGCTGATTAACTTTTAACCATAGTTGGTGAAACCGGACCTTAGTAATTAATTAATAGCAATTAATTAAATTTATTTAATCCTAAATTAAATTAATTTTAAATTAAAATTAATTTTTTTAAATACTATCAAACGGAGACTGATAATTTTTTAAAATTTTCTAATTTTTATCACTCACGAACAAAATTTTGTTCTAAATGAAAAAAAAAGAGATTTTTTCATTTTGATTTTAATAAATATTTAATGGTGTCTCAAATTTTTACATATATTTTGTAGGGGGGAAAAAAAACACTTCTTCGTAGATTTACTGTAGAATTATTAAAAATCCATATTTTTCAACTGGACTGCTCCACTTTTCTTTAAAAATATTGAAATAATAACATACAATTTATTATTTTTAAAAAATTTTTTACTGGTTACTATTTTTTAATTAAAGGAACGCAAAAACTTCCAAAAATGCAAAAAAGTGAAATATTTCTTTAAAATTGCTTACTATTAATTTTATTTGATTTCTCTACTGGAATTTTTTATTCATAACTAAAATATTTATTATTATTTACTTATTTTATTTATTTATTATTAGGAATAAAAAATATTTTTAGTTTGTTAAACAAAATATTGTTATTATTATTACTATTCTCAATAATCAGAGAACTGCAGCAATTATATTTCTTAATTTTGCAAATTGACGTTTTCAAAATAAATGAAAACTTAACTATATTTTATTAAATATAATTATATAATTTTCACAGTTGATTAATAATTTACATTTAAAGATTACAATTACGCGGTACATAAAAATAACAATACATTTACATTGTTGAAATATTCATAGAAATTATTATATTCCATAGCTAAATCTGATTAGTAATTTTTCTAATCGTAAAATATAGTAAAATTATTTAATTTCTTCAACTCTCTAAGTATATGTTGAGAATAATACTAACAATAGTTTGTTTAATAAATTTTTCAAATATTTTCACTTTCTTGCATTTTTTTTTAAGTTTTTGAAGTACTTTAAAAAATAGTAAACAATAAAAATTTTAAAAATAATGAATTACCATATGCAGTCTTCGAAGTGACACACTTTTTTACTTTTTTGATACTTTTTTCGACAAAGCTACTTTTTTACTACTAATTTTGGCCAAAAGCCACTAAATGTTACTTTTTTCAAAAAAATAATTTAAAAAATGACAGAATTCAAGAAGTTTAAATTTTAGTGAATTTTTTTTATTCCTAAAAACTCGCCAAGTTAATGATTTATTATTGACCGCGTTAACTACTGCTTTATTTAATTATTTTTTACACGAATTTTCATTTTTCAAAATAGCATTTAACATAATTTTCTTTTTAAACGACCTTTTACTCAATAGAATTTTTAATTTTGGCAAATTTTTTTTTGAAAGAATTTTTATTTTACAAAAAATTTTCTTTATCCAATTGTTTTTTTTAATAATTCTAATTTAACCGAAACTCATACAATAATTGAATTTTAGAGTATTTTGAATTGAAAAATGTTGAAATGCCAAGATCATGATTAAAGTTATTAGAAATAATTATTTCAAAAAAAATTTTGAATCAAAATTTTCAATAATAATTGAATTTCAGGAGATTTTGAAATAAAATTTTAGTAAATTAGAATTGCTAAAAATTATTAACAAAGTTTCAAACAGTAATTGAATTTTAGAGAATTTTTATTTAAAAAATGTTTTATTTAATTGAATTTTTGAATAATTGGATTGAAATTATTAATTTAGCAAAAAATTTTAGATACAAATTTTAAAAATAATTGAATTTTGGAAGAGTTAAGATTTTCAGTAATAATTGAATTTCTGGAGATTTTTAATTAAAATTGTTGTTTTAAAATACTAAATAGTTTATATAAGCTTCCGATTCAAAGTTCTAGGATATAAAAATTCGAATTCCTTAAAATTCTACTGAATGGGAATTCAAATAAATTAAAAATAGTTTAAATTAGAATTCTTTTCAAGAAACAGTTGGGTAAAGAGAAATTCTGTCAAATAAAAATTCGGTACTTTGAAAATTCCGTAGAATAAACATTCGTTTAAAAAAAATTCTGTTTTAAATGCTATTTTGTATAATAAAAATTTATGTGAAAAATCATTTTCATGGAATAATCATACACTTCTATCGTTGTGCCAAAAAAACAAAAAGTTAATCGAAATTTAACAATAGATAGTTTTTTTTTTAAATAATCATGAGAAAAATGATGTTAATTTTAATCCTCAGAATTTTTCTTTCAATTTTTTTAGACAAGAAAATATTTACACTTTAACGTTAAACTTAGAAAACTAATTTTACTTCATTTTAAAGATGCTACTTTTTTTCAATTTTGAGAATACTTTAAAAAAAAAAAAAATGATACTTTTTCATACTTTTCTTAGTCTCTTAGTACGCTTCGAAGCCTACATACGTTATTATTTGAATATTTTTAAAGAAAATCCATTTAGAACAAAATTTTAATCAGGAATGATAAAAATTTGAAAATTAAAAAAAATGTAATAAAAAATTTAACTTTGCAAAAATTATCTAGATCTCATAAAGTTTTATAGTATTTTGTAATTTTTTTTGTCGCCCAACTTATAGAAACTCTTCAGAAGGACGTCCGTAACTTAAAATTTTATTTTTAATTCTGAATTTTAATATCGTGTTGAGTAAAAAAACAGCGTTTTTGTGAATATAATTTATAGTTAACAGTGAGAGAAAGAAAATTTATTTTTCTTTTTTTTTTTTTTTGTCTTTTTAAAAACATACCTGTGACAAATATAGCAACTTCGATCCTTGTGAGCAGGACAACCGGTACCACCGCAAATTCCATAAACATATTGATTACTTTTGCTACTATGCTCGGCGAAATAAATTCCAGCTCCAAACATTCCGCCAATATAAGCGTGTCGTTCGTCAAAGCCTTTTTGTACAATAGCATTAATAAAAGGACTTCCATGAAAAAGCATCCTTTCATTTGCCTGTGGTAATGATAAATTTGACGTAATTCTTGTTAAGGAACTCGGTGAAGTTGGTGCAGCAGCTCCAACTTCTTCAGCCACTTCCTGTCGTCTATGTGCATAGCGCTCCCATAATTTTCGATTTTGCACTTTTTGAATCTAATACAGAAAAAAAAGAAGATAAATTTAATAATAATAATAAAAATATTAATAATAATAATAATAATAATAATAATACTTAAAGTTCATTAAAAATTTAAATAAATTTAATTAAAAAAATGTTTTTTCACTTACTCTAACAATATTGTATCTCGAGAAAATACCACCCGAAATACCATTATCGCGATGTTCGCGAATTGTATTTTGCATTTCCTCTTCAACAGCTAAAAATTCTTTATCATCAGTTAAAAGATCAACCAATAATGTTCCTGGATTAGCTGATGGCGGCCAAATTGAACCAGCCGCTGAACTCAAAAGTTTATCCATTCCTTTAATTAATTTATGCCTATAACCATAAGCATTAACTCCAACGTCCTTTAAATCCTCATGTCCCATTTCGGCAAGAATATCAAGCGTTATTTGCTCGTGTTCAAATAATTCAAGAAGATGATCTAAACCAAGACTCTGTAGAAAACCAGAAATATTTGTAATTGCATTACTACCATTTCGTTCATCGTCTTTTATATCACGATCTGAATTTTGTTCCGATGATGTCATTGGACTTATACAAGATGATGGACGAGCTATTGGTACACATAGTGTGATTGCTGCGCCGGACGGTAATATTACAGTCTCTTGAGTGAGCGATGGTGGCGGTGAAACGGGAACTGAAAAAGAATTTTCATTTTCAAATAATGAATAGAGAAAAAAAAAAAAAAAATGAAAATTATTATTGTATAAATAGGCCTCAGATTGATTCTAAGGGAAGGGACCAACGAAACTTCTACTCATTGAAATTAATTTTGTTAAGGGGTGTCAATTTTTTTTTTCTGGCATTATTTGGAATCGAAAATTATTGTGAATTATCAAAATTAAAAAAACAATTTTATTTTGACCATTTTAGAAATTTTATTATTTGAAAATATTAAAATTTTTAAAAATTCATACAATTGATTGTTCAGAATTATGAAAAAAATGTATAAAAAAATCAGTTTTATTTAAAAATTATTAATGAATTAATTGTTTTTCAATTTCCCATAGTATCATATAGTTTTAAATATTCAATATTAATAGAAAAAAAAATTTACAATCTTAAACAGCCTTAATTTCGAAAGATTGAAATTTCCGCGGTCCCTCCCCTTAAGGCCTTTAACTAAAAATTATTTAATAAATATTTTACTTTAAATAATTAATGTTATTAGATATTAAATTCATTTTATTAATTCTTTAATAAGAATGATTCTATAAGAATATTATTAAGAAAATTTATTTCGATTAATAAAAATTTTCAAAATTTTAATTAAGTAGGACAAATTTCTGAAAAAAAATTCTTAAAGTTCCATTATAAAATTTATTGTACACTGATTTAACCAATTTATTCAAATTTAAAATTTTGGCATATTTTTATAGTTTTAATGATAAAAAAAAAAAATTCCGGACAATAATTAAGTTTTACAAATTTTTAATTAAAATTTTTTTTTAATAATTGAATTGCAGATGATTTTAAATTTGAAATAAATCTTCTTTAAATTTTAAACTGCTGTGTAGTTTCTAATTGACAACAATTTAATTTTAGAGTTTTTATTTGAAACTTTTTTTAAATAAAAGAATTTTTTAAAGAAATATTAAAATTATTAAAAATAATAACTGAACTTTGGAAGAGTTATTAGTTGAAATTTTTAGAAATAATTAAATTTCAAAAGATTTTGTTAAATTTCAGACAATAATTAAATTTTACAAAATTGAAAATAATTTATCACATTTCAAAAGTTTTTGTTAAATTTCAGACAATAATTAAATTTTACAGAATTGAAAATAATTTATTAAATAATTTGAATGAAAAATGAAAATTTTTTATAAATAATTGAATTTCGGAAGAATTATAATTGAAATTATTAAATTAGAAAAAGTTTTAAATGGAATATTTTAAAAATAATAAATTTTCAAAGGTTTTAAATTGAAATTTTTTGTAATTTAATTTAATTTTTTTTTAAATTGTAAACAATATTGTTGAATTTTATAAAATTTTTAATTGAAAACTAATAATTTAAGATAATTGAATTTGTTTCATTTCATTGAAATTATTAAAAATAATTAATTTAGAGAAAAATTTGTTAAATAATTGAAATAAAGAAGATCTGAAGAAGCATTGTATACTTAAAAAGACGTATTTTGTTTAAAAATTTTGTTAAAAAAAATGTAAAAAAAAAAGTCACATCTTATTTAAATAAGTCCAAAAAAAGTCGTATTTTTGAGAAAAAAAGCCAAAAAAAAACCGCATAATCCAAGGCATTTATAAATTTATGTGAATGAAAAATAAATAAATACCTGCTACGATGCTTGGTGATCTACTGGTACCGACAATATTACTGACATTTGACGATGGCATCGAGGGAACGACTTGTTGCGATGCCATTGCGTCTTGTAATAAACATCGAACATCATCGGCACTAGCTAAATCCACAGGCGTTTGTCCTTCTTGATTCTTCAAGAAAGTGTCAGCGCCATGAGCGAGAAGAAGAGCACACAACTGTGTTCGACCCTTTTGAGCAGCCTCGTGCAAAGGTGTAAAGCCCCATTTATCGGTTGCATTTACCACCGTATTATATTTTATTAATAATGCAGCTATGTCCAAATGGCCATAACTCGAGGCATTGTGCAAAGGAATCAAACCACCTTTGTCTTGTGCATTCACATCAGCTCCTCGCTCTAATAAAAATTCAGCTACATCTAAATTATTGTATCCAGCTGCAAAAATAGATATTTCTCTAGAAATTATTCAACATTGTCACAGGAAGAAATTTTTCCATTTCTCTCAGTGACATTAAAAACTTTTTCCCTGACAAAAAATGTTTATTAAATTTAACAAATTATAATAGAAATCTAATAACTTTTTTTTTTTTTTTGCATTTTTACTGATTTTTTTAAAAAGATTTTGGCAAAAAAACTTTACAAAGAAGATATATATATATATATATATATATATATATATATTATTTCAGATATTTGAATATTTGAAGAATTTTATTTAAATTTTTTTGAAAATAATTAATTTAGCCAAAAAGTTTAGTTTAAAAATTTTTTAAGTAATTAAATTTTGAAAAAGCTATATTATCTTGATCCATTAATTTACTATTATTATTTTAAAAGTATTTAATTAATAAGTAGTGTTAGTAAATAAATAATACCTGCTAAATGTAAAGGCGTACTATTTCGTCCTTGTGCGTCTCTACAATTAATATTGTCAGGAGTAACAAGTCTTTGAACTCTTGCAAGATTTCCCTTCTTTGCTGCGTCCAATAACGCGCTATTACCTCTAAGAAGATCTGCAACATCCTGATCTCCTTCTCTCACCAAATCCAATGGTGTTGCACCGTCTCGATTCTTTTTTGTCGCGTCTGCACCATGCCTCAATAAAAGCCTTACAATTTCACATTTTCCCTTCGCTGCTGCCTCATGAAGTGGTGTGAATTTCCAAAGGTCTGCCACATTTACTGATGCTCCATGTTTCACGAGAAGTTCCGTCACTTCATAGTGGCCGTAAGAACAAGCATTGTGAAGTGGTACCAGACCGCTAATTCATAAAAAAAAAAAAAATTATTATTACGAAAATTTTAATTAAAAATCTCCTGATATTCAATTAGTTCCAAAAATGTTAACTATTACTCTTCAAAAACTCAATTATTTCTAAAAATTTTAACTTCAATTTCTTTTTGAATTAATTATTTCTAATAACTTTAATCAAGTTTTTTAAAAATTCAATTACATAAAGCTTTTTTTAATTAATGATTCTTTAAAATTCAATTTTTGTTTATATAATTTTTAAAAAATTTCAGTAATTCATGGTTTAGTAGAATTTTAATTGAAAATTTCAAAAATCGAAAATTCAATTTTTTAAATCATTTTCCATTTGAAAATTCTTTAGAATTTAATTATTTCTAAAAAAATTTAAATCAAACTCTTACAAATTCAATTATTTTAAAAATTTTAATTAAAAAATCTTCTGAAATTCAATTATTTCACAAATTTTCAATTAAAATTAATTTTTTTTCTATAATATTTTAATAAAATTCTTGAAAAATTTAATTATTTACAATATTTTCCGAAATTCTGAATTCGAATAATGTGTATAAATCAGACTTGAAAAATTTTCTTCTTTTTTTTTTAAATGTAATTTTAAATTATTTTTGAAAATTTGTTCCGAAACTGAATTGAAATCTTGATAATTTGTCTCAGTTTAATTCGGTGATTTAAAAAAAAAAAAAATTCTTGAAAATATTTCTGTAAAACATTTTTATTAAGGAATTAATAAATTTTATTTAATTTCTAATAAATTTTTAATAATAAAATATTTATCAAAACTAATTAAATGTATTTAAAATAACAAAAAAATGTACTTTTTTTAGTCTTTTCTTGTAATGTAAATCGACTAAAATGACTTTTTTTCTTTCAAATATCGATCCAAGGCCTACAATTATAAAAATGAAAGATAACAATTTTTCGAATCAAAAGTTTAAATTGAAAATTTCAAAAATTATAATTATAGTAGCATTTTTAGAAATTTGATATTTTTCATAAAATTCCCTGACTATTCCCAAACCAATTTCACTTTTCCTGAATATTCTGCAAAATTAATATTTTTTCTAATCATCTTTCTGCAAGATGAAGATTCTTTTAAATTACAATTCTGCTAAATTAATATTCTATAAGAATAAGATTCTATTAAATTGTAATTTAAAAAAAAAATTTTAGAGCTTATTTATGCGTTCCATTTTTTTTAATTTACCAAAAAAAATTTTAATTATAATTACCCTTTATCTTTAGCATGAACATCAGCTCCATGTGCAAGAAGATATTCCACAACGGGAACACGATTGTAACCCGCTGCAAAATGCAATGGCGTCGAGTGTCGACCGTCTAAATCTCGACAATTAACCGCATGTGGATTTGATTGAAGAATTCTTTCAACTGCCGTTAAATCGCCAGATTTACTCGCTTCTAGAAGTTGAGCTTCCACGTCTTCAGTTCCATTTGGTGGATCTAATAAAAGAAAAAAGAAAAAAAAAGTTAAAATTACGATGATAAATTTTAAAAAGAAACACCCGCACAAACCTATAATCGAATGCAATAAAAATTGTACTTATTTTTTCAAATTTTTTTTTACCTTGTAAAATTTTCAAAACATTCTCAGTGGCTATTTGAGCTGCAGTATATCCTTGAAGAGATACAATTGATTGATCTACGTTGTACGATAAAAGAATTCTACATGCTTGCACATTATCCTCTCTTGCGCATCTGCAAAAACAATATAAAATATTAATTATCCACTGTCATGTATCATTTGAAAAATTGTAATTTAAATTTACATTCTGGAAATAGTAATTGGTCTATTTCTTGAAAAATATAAATTTGCTTTTTATTAAAAATCATTTTTTGTAATAATAATAATTATAAAATGAAAAAGCCTAGAACGGTTATTTGATTTCAATTTATTTATTACTCCCAATCAGTTTCAAATATTATTAATTGTTTATTTTTTTATTATTTTTGTATATTTTGTCCTTTGTATTATTTTTGTATTTTATCTTTTTCAAGTGATAATTGATAATTATACAATTATCCCTTGAAAAGGAACAATTAATAATGCTCGAAACTGATTGAAAATAACAAATACATGTGAATTAAAACCAAATAACAGTTGTAGGTTTTTTTTTATTTTATAATTATAAATGTAGGAAATTAATTTAATATAAAATTTAAAAAATTGTGATATTAATATTGTGATAAAGCAGTAAAATTTCTTTTTTTTTTAAGAAACAAACCTGTGCAATGCCGTTTGTCCTAATCCATCCAGTGCATTAACTTTGGCGTTGTGTCTTAAAAGAATATCCATTGCATCGTAATGCGAATGATCGGCAGCAACGTGAAGAGGTGTAAGAAAATCTTTATTTTTCTCATTCAATGTGGGACTTTTTCGAATTAAAATTTCAATAATTTGTTTTCTTTTTGGAAAAGGTGAAGCGACAGCGCAATGTAAAGGCGTGTCACCCGTATAAGGGTGTTTAAAATTCACCACTTCAGGTGATAAATATTTTTTCAATTTCGTTGAATCTGCCTGTCGACAAGCATCTAAAAGGCAATGGCCTTTATATTCGTCTGAAATTTATTTAAGAAAAATAATTTCTCAATAAAAGAATTTAAAAAAAAAAAAAAAATAGAACTTGTTCAACAAAAAAATTTTATCGAAATAAAAAAACATTTTCAATTTTTTGAATTCGAATTTAAATTTCTCATCTATTTTCATGAAAAAATTATAAATTCAAAAAGAAAAATATTTGATTTAATTCTATAGAAAAAAATAGGAATATTAAATAATTAATAATGATAATAAATCAATAAAATAAAAGAATTATTTTTGCTAAAAAATAGGAAAAATGAATTGTTTTAGTTTAAGATACTCACAAGCTAATCTCTCTTGGAGCTCCAGGGTTGGAGCGACGTCGATAGCACTTTTACTGTGACAATTTAACTGCGTTGGATCTGCTCCTTCACTTAAAAGAAGAGAACAAACTTCCGCCCTTGATTTACTTGCTGCTTCGTGTAAAGGTGTAAATGCCCACAAATCACTGGCATTAACTGCTGCTCCGTGTTTTAACAACGCCTCAGTCACATCAAAGTGACCATACGAACAAGCGTTATGAAGTGGCACTAAACCTCTTTTGTCAACAAATATAGAAAAATACAAAAATTAGTTTAAATAATCTATTTAAAAAAAAAAAAATTATTGAAAATTCTATCTACTTTTTACCAAAAAAGAAAAAATTATTAATTGAAATTTCACCCTCAATATATAATATAAATTAAAATAAATTCAGAATGTTCATTAAAATTTAGAAATAAAATTCCAATTATTTTTTCACGATTTTATAAAGAATTTTTTCAAATTTTTGAATTTAAGACTCTTTTACAAAAGAGAAAACATTACATTTGTTATCAAAAATTATCAAAAAAAAAAAATTTCATACAGTTTTAAAAAATCTAAATTTGCTTCAAATTATTTTTTAAAAAAAACTTAAAGCTAAAAAAAAAAACATTCAAAATAATTAAACTAATTTTTGGATCTAATTTTAAAAAATTTTGAATTATCGAAAAAACGTAAGTTAAAAAAGAAAAATAAAATTTATTTCAAATAAAATTTTATCGATTATTATTTTCAAAAGAATATTGATATTTAACAAAAAATATTAGTGGTAACATTTTTGTGCACGTTCAATAGTATTTTGGAAAATGATAATTTTTTAATATTTCTGAGTTAAAAAATCGTTATTTGAATTTAAATTTGATTTATTTTGAATAATTTATTATTAAATATTTTAAAAATTGTTGGCAGCATTTTTTCTTGTTCTGACATTGAACAATTGTTTAGTTTTAATTACGGATATAAGTGATTTTTTGGAGCTTAATGTTTTTTTTTTTTTTTTTTTTTTAATTTGAGTCCTAATTATTTTTTTTTTGGAAAAAATTTTTGCATCACAAATTAGCATAAGAAATGATTTTTTTGAAAAAAAAAATAAAATTGCGTTTCTAACTTCTTGCACGTAATTAAATTTACTTTATTTTCCCAGTTTTAAGTTTATGTAACTAAAATTGAGATATTATCACATAATTTTAAATTAGTACATTAAAATTGTAATCATTTTGTTTTAATATCGGTTGAAAGTTATAAAATTTTTTTTTTTAAATGTATATTTTTTTACTGCAAAAATTGCGTTGAAAAACCGAAGATTTAACTTCAAATAGAAAAAAAAAAACTTTTTATGGCAACTATTGACAAAAGTTTTAATAGAAATATTCTTGTTGCTTTTTTTAAAAAAAAATTAACACTTGTGCTGCATTGTTACTTGTAATCTACTGTGACATAAATTATTTTTTGAAAAAATCCAAATTTTACCAAAAATTTCGAAAGCAAATATTGGGAAAAATTTTAAAGATTGCGAATTATCAAAAAAAATATGTTACAATAAATTTTTGAAAAAATTGTTATTTAGCAAAATTATGTAGCACAATTTTTATACTTTATAAAAATTCTAATTTGAAAATTTTTCCTACCTGATTTCAGATCAGAAATTATTAATTATTTCGAAAAAAAAAAAAAAAAAAAAAAATGGTAGAAAGAGAATTTTTAAAGCATTCCCAATATTGTTTAGCACAATTTTTAATTTTTCCAATTCGTTTTTTTTTAATCAAACAGCTATAAAATTTGTTTTCACAAATTTTTAGTTTTCATTTTTTCAAAAAATTTTTTTACTTCCAGATAGATTAAAAATTAAGAACACAAGTTTAAATTTCAAAAAAAAAAATCAAAATACGAATATTTGAAAAAAAACAAACAAATTTCAACGTTGAATTAAAAAATTCAAAGCAAAATTCACGGTTTTATCAAAGGCATAATTAAATTTCACGTTCTTTCGGTTTTCAATGTTTCAAGGTTCGGTGGCCATCCTGATTTAATTATATATGATATTTAATTTGAAAAATTAAAAATACCCTTTGTCCTTTGCATGAACGTCAGCTCCGTTTTGTAATAAAATTTGAACGACCCTCGAACGATTGTATCCTGCGGCTAAATGTAGAGGCGTTGAACGACGTCCGTCACTGGCGTGACAATTGACATTCAAAGGATTTAAAAGTTGCAAGAGACGTTCTTCGTTACCCGATCTAGCAGCTTCCAATAATTCATCTTTTTTATATTCGCCCGTCAAAACTGGTTTTGTCGCTATATCCGCTAAATCGAGAGCTGTTTTCCCTTCTGTATTTCTAATATTTGAATCTGCTCCGTGTTGCAATAATGCAATACAAACATCAATTTTTCCCTATAAAGAAAAAAAATTTTATTTTAATTTTTACCGTAACTAAATATTTTTGTAATTTACAATATATATCATAATTTGAAATAATCAATAATAATTTGAACAAATGTTATACTATTTTTTTTTTTTTTTTTTTTTTTTATTGTTACTGTAATAATTATTTTTGTTTACCGTTATAGTTATTTTATGTAATTTTGTGAGAAAATTTATTTTTCTAATTTACCTTAATAGCTGCTTCGTGTAATGGTGTATAATTCCAATTATCACGAGTATTTGGATTGGCTCCTGCTTCTAATAAAAGTCTTACAACGTCATAATGTCCAAAGGAACAGGCATTATGTAAAGGATGAAGTCCTCCATCATCACGAGCCTGAATCGATGCACCAGCTAAAAGAAGAAATTCAACCACGTCTCGTCTACCGTAACCTATTGGAAAAAAAAATAATAATAATAATTCAACAAATTAATAATACAAATAAAATAAATTGTCTACAAATATTCAGTAATAGAAAAATTATAATATTAAGAAAAAAGAATACAAAATTAATTTTCGTATAAATTTTTTTTTGTTCTCAATCTCTTTCTTCATTTGAGGAGCAAATTTTAAAAATCCGATAAATTTTTATTTTCTTATTTCGCGAAATGACTTTTCTCACATAACCACTACAAGTTTGCTTTTAAAATAAAAAATTTATAATATATTTCTATAGTAATATTTTTATATTCAAAATGTTTGGTTTTTAATTAAATTTTATCATAATTTACTGATTTACTGGTTTTTTTGGGGGGTAATTTTTTCCACAATAGAAAAACATAAAAATTGTCATTTTGGTTATGTCAAAAAAATTTTAAATTAAAAATTCGTTAATTTTTTTTTTTAAATTTAAGTGACAGGAAGATTTGTAAAGTCCTTGAAATAATAAAATATTTATATCAATTTTTTTCGAAAAATAGATCAGCTTTTGAAAATTTACTCCACTGTAATAATTTTCATTTTCTTTTCTCAAAACTTTTTTCTTCGAAAAAAAACGAATTTCTATAACTATACATATTATATTCTAAACAATATTCTTCAAAGCAAATAGATATATATATATACAAGAATATACTTTAAAACAATATAAACACACCACAAAAAATATAAAAGTCTAAATTTTTGAATTTTACAAAATTTCACAAAAATAGTGAATTCAGTTAAATTTTCACTGTTACTATGCAGACATAATTAAAACCATAGCGAATGACAACATAATCTAGTTGAGAAAGGAAAGAATCACCTTGATGTTCGATGAACCGTTAAGGTGAGTGACTCAACCAAAAAAAAAAAAAGAAAACCATTTTTATTCAAATTGTCAAGTAACAATTCTTGGCAAAATAAATATGTAAAAAAAAAGCTGATAACATGGGTGTGTGTGTGTGTGTGTGTGAGAAAAAAATACATATATATTACTCACCAGCTGCAAAGTGAAGAGGAGTTGATTTCCGACCTGCAGTATCACGAGCATTGACCGTTTTTGGAGTCACTAATTTTTTCACCCTTGCTAAATCACCAGTTTTACAGGCTTCAAAAAGTTCTCTTAAAGGATCGGTATTTACTGTCCCTGTTAGGGATTCAGGGTTCGTCAACACTGATCGTCGTGCTGCCATTTCACACGGCCATTTTTACGCTTGTTCAATGCAATATTTTATTTTATTATTATTTTTTTTTTTTCCTATACTGCACTGTATGTTGCAAAGGCACAACGTTACGTTTGCCATTCGCATGCGCACACATGCGCAACAAAAATATTACACACACAGTTACAGCAAATAAATAGAAATAGACCAATGACAAATTGGATTTACAAGTTGTAGGACCAATCAATGATATTGATGCCGTAACTGTCATATTTTCGGCGGTAAATTTGAATTTGTATTTTTCTTTTTTTTAATCAGAAGTTTTATAATTTAATAAACTAGTAAACACGGTGAATTAATAATTATTAATAAATTAATAGGAAAAATAGAAAACAAAAAATATATAATGGAAAATAGAAATAAAAGTAATAATGTAAATAATAACTAAATTTTGTTTTATTATTATTTTTTATTTATACAAATGTATTGTTCAATTTTATTTTTAGTTTACAAAAATTGAAAAAATTTGTAATTAATTTCTAAATTTAAAAAAATGTTTATAATTCCTATATACAATAAATCCATTATTTCGTTCGTTTTCTTTTTGAAATTTTCGTTTCTTTTGCTAAATTTAAAGATTTTCTTTTCCGAAGTGAAGCACAAATATCGAATTTTTCATCGTCGATAATAACATTGTTGAAACGTTCATTAACATAATTTTCAAATTTCATATTAGCAAATTCATATTTCGTTAAAATTTTCGGTGTCACTTTTTTTGGAATAGCTACTGCTGGTTTAAAAGCAACTGTCACAGGATCGTATTCTTGGCAAAGTTCTTCTGGATTTCTAAAAAAAAAAAATGAAAAATAATTTTTCTTTTTTCACTTTAAACATCATTTTTATTTTATGGAAAAAATTAAAAAGTTAACAGACTTTGGATTAAGTTTCAAATAGTTTTTTTTTTTTTTTTAATTCAGCAATTTTAAATTTTCGAAAATTTTAATTTTTCAAGTTTATTTTTAAATTACAATCAATAATTAAATTTTACTGAATTTTTAATTGAAATAATTAAAATTAATAAATTTTAATTACGAATTATTAAATAATTTCATTTTTTTTTTGAAGAATTTGATGAAAATTATTGGTTGATAATAATAATTTAACAATTTAAGATAACATTTATTTAAAATAATTGAATTTTTAAAGAGTTATAATGGAAATTTTTAGAAAAAATTTAATTATAACAAATTTTATATTGAAAATAATAGAAGTGATTAAATTAAAATTTTTAGAAGTAAATAATTCAATTTAATAAAATTTCAAATTGAAATTTTTTTAATTTCTGCAAATAATTAAATTTTACTGAATTTTTAATTTAAAAAATTGTTTTAAATAATTGATTTCTTGAAGAACATGATAAAAATTATTGTTTGAAATTATTATTAATTATTAAGTTTAAATTTTTAGAAATAATTGAATTTTATGTAATTTTGAATTGAAATTTTTGATATTTTTTATTTACTGAAATGTTTTTCTTTTAGAAATTTTAAAGAATTATTTAATCTTTTAAAATATTTAATTGAAAAATAATTTCAGATAATTGAAGTTTTCAAGAATTTTATGAAAATAATTAATTTAGCCAAGAAGTTTAGTTAAAAATTTGTTAAGTAATTAAATTTTGGAAAAATTGCATTGTAGACTAAAAAAATTCCTATTTTACTTAAAAATGTTGAAAAAAGAATTTAATAAAGTCGCATTTTATTAAAATAAGTCGAAAAAAGTAGAATTTTTGAAAAAAAGTTGGAAAAAGTTGTAAATTTGAGGCCTGAGTTAAAATAAACAAAAATTTATAATTTACAACGTTACTATTTTTTTCTCTCTCTATTTTTAAATACTTTAAAAATTTGTTTTCAAATTAATATTTATAACTCACAATTTTGCAATTTCAGGCGATAAACTGCCCTCTCCACTGGCTGGAACTTCCCAGGCAATATTTTTTGCAACCTGATGCACAGTATTGTGATAATGTCGCTAAAAAATTTTTAAATTATTTTTAAATTAACTCGTTTTTTATTTCGAAAGCATTTACTTAAAACTAATTAAATTTAAATTAATTTTTAGTCTTTAAAAATTTTTAAATGTCTTTTCTTTGATTATCGTTGAAATCTAATGATTTATATAATAAATTTAAATAAATTCATTGAATCAATTAATAATATTCAATTTAAAAAAAAGTTTTATCTCACAATCGTTGAAATCTAATATAATAAAATTTTTCATTATTAATTTAATTATTTTTAATTAATTTAAAATTAATTTTTATCAAATTATTAATTTTTCTAAAAAATGTACCTCATAAAATAAAAAAGCGTTTGTAAAAGAATTTTTAGCATTATAATAATGAAATATAAAAATTAAATTTTCTAAATTTAATACGAGTAAGATTAATTTTTTTGTTACTAATTATTGTGAAAAAAAACAATAATTTACCTGCAACGCAATAATTTCCCATAAAGCTGTAGATTTTGCATTACAATATTCAGGATCATCTAATTCTGATAAATAAAGACCATCGCCACAGCCACTATCAGTGTCTAATAAAATATATGCTGCTTTTCCAAGTTGCATTATTGTTTTAATTACACCAAGAGCGCCAAGTGCTCCATTATGCTGTAAACCTAAAGCCATGGTAGCAATTCTTTTTACAAACGCTATTAATCGATTTTGTGTAATATTCTTCTGTCGATGAACCAACGCTAAAACCAATACTTTCAAAACAACATCAATTTCCGTATAACTTCTTCCTGCATGAACGTTTAATAGATTTTTATAAAGATGAGAATAAAATCTGAAAATATAAAAATTTCTCTCAAATTTATGTTGCTTTTTTTTAAGAATTAAAATTTCAAATGGAAAATTTAATATTAAAATTTTTCTTTTCACCTACCTATGAGGATCTATATTTAATGCAGAACCCTGACCGGACAAAATAATAAAAACAGTTTGAATACAATTGAGTCTTTCTCTCAATGCTAAATTTCCTTCCTCTAATAAAGCACTTAAAACATTGACGATATCCTGATAGAATTCCAAATTTATACAATGGGCGAATCTTAAAAATAAAATAATAATTAATAAGAAAAAAATTAGAAATAACAATAATTTAATTAGATTTTCATTTTACTTGGCTAATCCTTCTAGGCAAGCTGATAGAATTTTACTGCTTGGTGCTTGTTTTAAAATTCGGAAATAAATTGTAAACACCAATGATGTAATATCGGTGAAAACTTTTTCCATTGCCTTTTTATTTTCCTCAGCTTTTGTTTCTAAAAGTTCTTTTTCAACTTGTTCAAGTTTTTTACTCTTCTTTCGTTCACGTTTACTTAACGCTAATATTCTTTGCTTATGTGACATTAATTTTTGCTTCTTTAATTCCTCATCTTTTTCTTTATCCAAATTTATATCTTTTATTCGCAATCCCAATAAAACAGATATTACCTCATGATGAACAGTATGTCCACGAGGTTTTATATATTTATTTAACTGTTGTACAATCTATTTAAGCAAAGTACAAAAAAAAAAGAATAATTTAACTATGGGGTATTCCACGCGAGATTTTCATTCAAAAATTTTTTTCCGAAATCTATATAAAAACTAAAAAAATTGTATTTTCTTAGTTTGTATAAAGATTTCGGGAAAAAAAATTTTTGAATGAAAATCTCACGTGGAATGCCTCTTATAAGGTTTTTTTTTTATTTCTCTACTAAAAAAATATTAATATTTTATTTAAATATTGATATTTACCATCAAAGATAATTCTCCACGTTTGTCTTCTTTGAAAATTTGTGTAAAACATTTGACGACAATTTCTCTTATTGATGAAAGTTTATTATCTAACAATGGAATAAGAAATTTTGCGATATTATTTGAAAAATTGAAATATGGATGTGTTAACAATAAATCGCACATGCAATTCACGGCCAATGATGCCAATTGAATTTCACGATCATTCAATCTTCGCATGGAATTTCCTTTTTTGTATAAAATTTTAGCCATTTTCTCCAATTTTTGCAAATAATTTTTGTAATTCTTTAACAAATCAGCTTCATAGTTTTGTAGTTGAAATGTATCTTTTTTTACTGAAAATGAAAAAATTTCTTTTTAGTAAAACAAAATACATACCTTGGATTGACTTTAGAGCGCAAAAAAATTGCTTTAGTCAATTTACATTAAAAAAAAAAGTCGAAAAAGACGATTTGTTTTTATTTTATCTAAATTTAATTAGTTAAGAAAATAATTTTATTTTAAAAAACTAATGTTAATTGGATATTAAAGTTATTTTATTAATTTTTTAATAAGAATAATTCTATAAAAATATTTATTACAAAAATTTATTTCAAATATTTCAGAATCGAACTAAGACAAATTTTTTCAAAATTTTAATTTAAATAGGATAAATTTATAAAATAAAATTCTTAAAGTTTCATATTTTAAATTTTTTGAAGTCTGATTTAAGCAATTTATTCCATTTTAAAATTTTGTTACAGTTTTGAGTTTTAATGTCCAAAAAAATTTTGAACAATAATTAAGTTTTACAGATTTGTAAATTAAATTTTGTTCAAATAATTAAATTGCAGAAAGTTTAAATTTGCAATAAATTTTCTGCAAATTTAAACAGTTATACTTAGTTTTTTGTTTTAATTTCTGACATTGAACATTTATTTGATACTTTTTTAAATAATTTAATTTTTAAAGAAATATTAAAATTATTAATAAAAATAATTGAATATTGAATTTCAAAAGATTTTGAAAAATTTTCTGACAATAATTAAATTTTTTAGAATTGAAAATAATTTAGAAAATAATTTTATAAAACCTTTTTCAAAAATAATTGAATTTTAAGTAATTTTTGATTGAAATTTTCGCTGATTTCTGTTGCTGAAGAATTTATTCGAAATTACAGACAAAAATTGAATTTCAACAGTTTTTAATTGAAAATTTCTTTCAGATATTTGAAATTTTAAAGAATATTATACAAATTATTAAAAATAATTGAATTTCGGAAGAGTTAGAGCTGAAATTTTTATAAATAATTGAATTTCAGCAGATTTTTTTTTTAAATAATAATTAAATTTTACAGAATTGAAAATAATTTGAATTAAAAATGAAAACTTTTTTAAAATAATTGAATTTTGAAAGAATTATAGTTGAAAATATTAACTTTTAGTTATTATAACAATGACAGCAATAATAATAATAATATTAACTTTTAGTTTGTTTTAGATGAAAAATTTTAGAAATAATTAAATTTTCAAAGGTTTTAAATTGAAAATTTTGAAAATAATTTAATTTTAAGTAATTTTTAATTAGAATTTTTGTTAATTTTATTTGCTGATTTTTTTCAAATTTCAAAAAATTATTGAATTTCATAAAATTTTGAATTGAAAAATAGTTTAAGAAAATTGTGAAGAATTTAATTAAAATTATTGATGAAAATTTATTTTGAGAAGAATTTTAGTTAAGAATTTGTTAAATAATTGAAATAAATATGATCTGAAAAAGATCTGCATTGTACACTGAAAAAGGCGTGTTTATTTTTAATTTTGTAAAAAAAAAAGTCGAAATTAAAAAAAATTAAAAGAAATCATTTTTAAAATGAAATAAAATTTTAAATTATACTTACATTTAACTCCTTCTTGATTAACTTGTGTAATGTGATAAGATGGCAGAATATCTTTAAAAATTTCAAGAAGTGATGCTGTTGCTAATTTTCTAACAGTAATGTAAACTTCAGGATTTTTCTCATCCATAAAATCAAGTAGCATTGTAAAATTTTTCGATCTTAATTGTGGATCTTCCAAAATGCTACTCGATAAAATGCCAATAGTATAACGTCGAGATTTTAAAACTTCTTCACGACATGCCAATAATTTTGCCGTTGAAACATGTTCAATTTCATTTAAATCCTTTGTATCCTTTAAATTTAGAAAAAAATTTTAAATCTCTACTTTTTATAATTATATATGTAATAAATGAAATAATAAGATTAGAAAAATAAAATAAATTACAATTACCTCTTTTAAATCTAAATCTAAAGAATCGGTATCACTTTTTTCATCTTCGTCTACTTCCTTATCTTCTTCTTTTTCTTCTTCCAGCATTTCTTCATCTTCAACATTTTCTTTTTCAATCGCTCTAGTTTTAACAAATCCATCTTTTGTTTTAATTGGTAAAAGAAATTTAAATTCTTTTCCCATATCTTCTTCAACTCCTTTGAATGCTGTTTTCTCATATCTGTATTCTAGATTTTCTTGTGTTTTTTTAGATTTTTTACTTTGCCTGATAGAAAAAGAAAATTTAATTTTAAAATTAAATTTTCGAGAATTTGCCTAAAGATTTATTAATGTTGAAAATTTGACTTGAATTTAAAATAAAAATAATAATAATTATGAAAAAATAAGTTTATTACTTTGAAAAAGAATTATATTTTAAAAATCATATTAATTTAATTTTCGAGAATTCTTCTAAAGATTTATAAATGTTGAAAAAAAATTTTAAGACTTAATTTAAGATAAAAAAAAAATTAATAAACATAAATTTATTACTATTGATAAGCTAGTAATATTAAGTCTAATTAACTACAATTAAAAAAAATTTTTAAACTTACTTTTGATTGTCTGTACAACGAATTTTTTTTAAAAGTTCATAGGATTTATTTGAAATAGCTTCTTTGAGAAAAGACAAATCATCTTTTTCCACCATTTCCAACATATTTCTATCATCATCACTTCCTTCTTCATCTTCCTGAGTATTGTTGATTCGCGATTGTTGAGGTTTTTGAATTTGTTTTTTCGGTTTATCACGATGTCTTCGAGTTTTTAATTTACCTTGTTTCGCGAGCTTTGTTCGTTTTTGATTACTTCTTTTCACTTTGCTGATCTTCATTTTTTTTTTTTTTTTTTAATAATTACTTTTCAACAATCTTTGAATAAAAAAGATAATAAAAATATAAAATAACGAAGTCGATACAAAGCTACAAATAGAAATGAAAAGATAAAAAAAAAACTTTTTTAGAATTTTTTTAAAAAAATATTTTCTATATTGTACATTTGGAAAAAAAAACCCTTTTATCTAGTCGAATTAGTTTTATAAAGATTTTAAATAATTTCAACGTGAAAAAAAGAAGAAAAAAACGTGGATAAATGTCATGTTTGTTATTAAAATATGTAAATTAATAAAAATTGACCAATAAAATTCTTACCTTAATTTATCTTATTTCTTTATATAAATGCAATAATATTTTTGATAATTTTTAATTTATCACTCATTTAATTAATAAATATGATTGTTTTCTTTTATATTATTATTCTGTACATAACCTCAAGAGAATTTTAACGAACCACGTTGTTTTTTTTCCCCCACAAAGTTGGTAGTACTTAACAATTGGTACGAAGCGAATAAGAAATATAATACATCCAATAAGAAATCTAGAATTTCTAATAGACATCATCGATTGGTTCACTTGTTTTTAAATACCGCCATTTTTAATTTTCTAAAGAATTTCAAATATCAAAAATTGAAGATTAATTTAAATTCATAAATAATTTTTTATAATTATTTTCATTTATTTATAGAAATTTTTAAATATTTTTCTAATTTAATAAAAGAATATAAATAATTATTAAAATATAAATAAAATTAATGTTTTATAACACAAAAATGTTTTTTTAATAAGAGTTCAAAATCCCGCTCTTTAAAAAAGAAGTGTACAAGCAGCGCCGCCATATCGTAATGTTGATGGCATTCGCAGAATTTTTGCGTTAGCTGCTGCTGCTGCTGCTGTGTACGGCTTTGTTTTTTCCAAGGATGAAAATTGTGTGTAAATTGCAATAATCGTAGAACAAGTCAGAGAGTGAGAAACAATGAGTGAAAGGTAGTAATCTCATTAAATAAACAATTCTATCGAATTTGATTTTTATTTTGGTGTATTTTTTTTAAAAAGAAAATTTCGACACTCTTCTATAGACGAGTGAGCATTTTTTTTTCTTTTTCTGATTGTTCAGTGTTGATATACATAAAAACAAGATCGCAATAAATAATGTACAAACGATACAAGTGTTCTTGAGACGAAAACTCAAGTGTTGTTGATTTTTTTGTTTTTTCGGAACTACAGTGGAAGTTGTGTGTTTTTTTTTTTTGTTATAATACTTTATTACACTCGTGTGTGAACCGATGTTCATGTCGTTGACTTGTGTGGATTTTCATTTGTATTGAATGAAACAAACTTTGTATGTATATTGTTTCTTTTTTAATCTCTTGGTGTCGTGTTTACTTCGGTTGATTGAAATTGTAAATTTCCATTAATATTGAATAAGATTAAACGCCGAAACACATGGCACAAGTATTTCACTAGATGCTGGAGCATAAGGGGATTGAATGTTTTGGGGTTCGACGTAAGGGTAAGGTCAGACATTTGAAGGAAAAGGACATCAACAATTGCCGCCACGGCTTTCACAGAGATGGTTGGACTCGCGGGCGGGGGTAGTCACCTTTACCCCTCGCCCCCGATGCAATCAAATCCCGAAAGTAAGATTTTTTTCAAATTTTTAATTTTATATATATATCATACATCTATTCTGTATCAAATTCAACATTTTAGAGGTGGGGGAAGTTTTGCAAGTTCTGAATGTTTAAATGGACGAAACATTTGTTTACTAATTTTTTAGCTTTAAATTTTATTATAAAATACTGTTTTTTGTGTAAAAAAATAAAATAAATGTTGAATGTATTTTTTTATTTTTAATTGCAGTAGTAATTTTGAAAAAATTTATGAACACAAAAATATGTTTTTCTTCATTTGAACGTTCAAAACTTTAGGCACATGAAAAAAAAGGTGAAATTATAGTCAAAATTCATGTCTCGGATTTATAAGACTTTTTTCGTTTTTTCTGTCATTTTTTCGAAAATACAATTTTTTTTTAGACTTATTTTAATTCGATACGACTTTTTTTATATATATATATATTTTTTTAAAGTGTGAAACATAATACATCTTTTTTTGGTATACAATGCAGATTTTATTTATTTCAATTATTCAAAAAAATTTTTTTTTAATAAAATTCTTCTCTAAATGAATTATTTTCAATAATTTTAATGAATTTCTTTAATAATTAAATTATTTTTCAATTAAAAATTTTATGAAATTCAATTATTTCTGAAAATTTTAACTGCCACTCTTCCGAATTACAATTATTTTTAATGATTTTTATAATATTATATAAAATTTCAAATATCTGAAAGCAATTTTCAATTAAAAACTTTTGAAATACAATTTTAGTCTGTAATTTCAAATAAATTCTTCACCAACAGAAATCATTGAAAATTTCAATCAAAAATCACTTGAAATTCAATTATTTTCAACAATTTGAATTGTAAATTTTCGAAAATTAAATTATTTTTGAAAAACGTTTAATCAAATTATTTTCAATTCTATAAAATTTAATTATTGTCAGAAAATTTTTCAAAATCTTTTAAAATTCAATATTCAATTATTTTCAATTATTTTTTACATTAATATTTCTTTAAAAATTAAATTATATTTAAAAATGTTTCAAATAAAAACTCTAAAATTGAAATTGATGTCAAAAATTAAAAGAAAAAACTACAACAGTTTAAATTTGCATAAAATTTATTTCAAAATTAAACCTTCTACAATTCAATTATTTGAACAAAATTTAATTTAAAAATCTGTAAAACTTAATTTTTGTTTAAAATTATTTTGGCCATTAAAACTATGACAAAATTTTAAAATCAAATAAATTGCTTAAATCAAACTTCAAAAAATTTAAAATATGAAACTTTAAGAATTTTTTATTATAAATTTTTCCTACTTAATTAAAATTTCGAAAAATTGTCTTCATTCGATTCTGAATTATTCGAAATAAATTTTCTTGATATTATTCTTATTAAGGAATTATTAAAATGAATTAAATGTCTAATGATAGTAGTTATTTAAAGTAAAATATTTATTAACTAAATTTAGTTGAAATAAAAAAAAAATTACTTTTTCGACTTTGTTGGGAATTTAAAATCGACTGAAACCACTTGAAGTTTAATTATTTTGACGAAATATGAATTGTGAGTCTTCGAAAATTAAATAATTTTTAAAGAAATGTTTTCTAATATTATTTGATAAATTATTTTCAAATTTGTAAAATTTAATTATTGTCAAAAATTAAAAAAACAAAAAACTATGTACAACAGTTTAAATTTGCAGAAAATTTATTTCAAATTTAAAATATGCAATTCAATTATTTAAAAAAAATGTAATTTAAAAATCTGTAAATTTTAATTATTATTCGAAAATTTGTTTACCATTAAAACTAAAAACTTTGCCAAAATTTTAAATTCCAATCAACTTTTTAATTCCGACTTCAACAAATTTTTTAAAAATGTAACTTTTATATTTTTTTTACAAATCTAAAATTTGTTAAAATTCATGGAAATTTGTTTCAGTAAAATTTTGAAATATTATCTAAATGAAATTTCGTAATTATTTTCTATGTAATTATTTTTATTAAGAAATTATTAAAATTTACTTTTAATATCCAAAAAAATAATGGTTAATAGAAATAAAGTATTTATTAAATTAAATTTATTAAAATTTCAAAAATCGATTTTTTTTTGTCTTTTCTTCTTATGTAAATCGACTAAAACGACATTTTTTTTGTACTCAAAATATATTAACTAATTTTTTGTCTACAAATTTTTATTTCAATAAATTATTGATCAAGAAATATTGCAAAAAATTTTGATCAAAAATAATAATAATTTGAATAAAAAAATATTTTCTTTTTTTTCTTTTGTAATTTTCAAAAATTTATAACATTTATGTTGCAATTTTCAGTAAGAGAAATGACGGGAATGGTACCTAGTGCACCAACGAGTGCGGATGCATGTTTAAGTATTGTGCATTCGCTTATGTGCCATCGTCAAGGAGGTGAAAGTGAAACTTTCAGCAAAAGAGCTATTGAATCATTGGTGAAAAAATTAAAGGTACTAAAAAAATGGTTTACCATTCCTTTTATTAATTAATTAAAGTAAAATAATATATATTTTTAAAATTAAATTAATTTAAAAGTAAAATATAAGATTATTTTAATTGAATTTTAATTTAATAAAATTGTAATTTATAATATTATTTTTTCTTTTCTTTTGCTTTAAAGGAAAAAAGAGAAGAGCTCGATAGTTTGATAACAGCAATAACAACAAATGGAGCACATCCAAGTAAGTGTGTTACAATTCAAAGAACTTTGGATGGAAGATTACAGGTGGCTGGACGTAAAGGATTTCCCCATGTGATTTATGCAAGAATTTGGCGATGGCCCGATCTTCATAAAAATGAATTGAAACATGTGAAATACTGCCAATTTGCTTTTGATCTCAAATGTGATTCTGTTTGTGTGAATCCTTATCATTATGAAAGAGTCGTCTCACCCGGGATAGGTATGTTTTATGCATGGTAAAAAGAAATTATTATTTTTTTTGCAACTCGTCTTGTCTTTAATATAATAATAATAATAATATTGGGCTTCACTTTTAAAAATAGCTGTGGCTTTCAATATATTCATTTGTTTTTCAAAACACAAGTATCATTTAACAAGGCATGTTTTCATTTCTTTAAATTTTTTTATTGCGAAAGGCGCAAAAGGCTTCAAAAAAAAAAATAAAATAAATAACATTCTTTAAGAGCTATTATTTGTTATATTAAAATATAAATTATAAATACAATTTTTTCAAATGAAAAATTTAATTTAAAAATAATTATTTGAATAAATTGTGAATTGAAAGTATTTTAAAAAATAATTTTAAAGCTCAAATTTTATGATAACTTTTATCGTGGTTCGTAATTAATTTCTTTTCTAGATAAGAATATAATGTCAACAGATGATGTTACAAAATATAACAAAAAAAAAAAAAACTATTTTAAACATACTAAAAGTAAGAAAACAGACTCACTTGTCCAGCTAAAGTTTTAATGTTGCTTAAATTTACAAAAAAAAAAAGAAATTGTTTCATGTAATTGCAGTTTTTTTTTTTGAAAAATGCTTTATTTATGTTTAAATCTACTGATTTTAATTCAACGAATCTAATTTTTTTCATTTAAAATCGGATTATTTATTTATATATATATTTTTTTTATTAGGAAATTTTCAGTAATTTGAAAAAAATTGGTAAATTTAAGAATAAAAGAGAAAATTATAAAATAGAAATAGTGAGGAGAAAAAAAAAATTAAATAAAATTGAGAAAAAGGAAAGTTGGATGTAAATCAGTGGTACATCGGTGCGGCTAAAGCTACAGTTTTTTTTTTCTTTGAAGCAAAACTAATTTCCAGGCCTCGGATTATATGACTTTTTCGATTTTTTCTGACTTTTTTTTTTGAAAATACAACTTTTTCTATTTTTTTTCACATTTTTAAAAAAATTTGTAAACAAAATACGTCTTTTTTAGTATACAATGCAGATCTGCTTTATTTCAATTATTTAACAAATTTTTTTCTAAATTAATTATATTCAATAATTTTAATGAAATTCTTCACAAATTCAATTATCTTAAATTATATTTCAATTAAAAATTTAATGAAATTCAACAAATTGTTGACAATTTAAAAAACAATCAAATAAAATTATCAAAAATTTCAATTTAAAACCTTTGAAAATTTATTATTTAAAAAAAAATTTCATCTAAAATTTTTTGAAATTTAATAATTTCAATTATAATTTTTCCGTAATTCAATTATTTTTTAAAAAAAAAATTTCATTTTTCATTTAAATTATTTGATAAATTATTTTCAATTCTTCAGCAATAGAAATCATTAAAAAATTTCAATTCAAAATCATTTGAATTCAATTATTTTCAAAAATTTCTATATAAAACCTTAAATTTAATTATTTTTAAAATTGTCAACTTCCAAAATTTAATGATTTTAAATGATTTTTATAATATTCTTCAAAAATTCAATTATTTGAAAGAATTTTTCAATTAATAACTTTTGACATTCAATTTTTGTCTATAATTTCTAATAAATTCTTCAATAACAGAAATCACCGAAAATTTTTAATTAAAATTCACTTATAGTTCAATTAATTTAAAAAAAAAAATTATTTAAAACTATTTGATAAATTATTTTGAATTCAGTAAAATTTAATTATATAGTCTGAAATTTAATAAAATATTTTGAAATTCAATTATTTCTAAAAATATTAACATCCAAAGTTCAATTATTTTTTTAATAATTTTAATTTTTCTTTAAAAATTCAATTATTTAAAAAAGTTTTAAATAGAAAATCCAAAATTGAATTGTCAGAAATTAAAAAAAAAAAAAAAAAAAAACTACAGCAGTTTAAATTCGATCTGAGGCCTTAATTTCTCACGTAATGCAGATATTAATTTTATGGTTTTTCTCGAGTTGGTCTTTTTTTTTTTTTTTTTTTTTTTTTTTAATCGTTAGCAATTATTAATTTACTATTGTCGCTTTGGTGTATGACGGACTGGGTTGGTTTCCCCCAAACAGACCCGTTCTTTACAGACCTGTCAGGATTGACACTACAATCGGGCGTTGGAGTTGGACCTGCGGGACGTTTAGTCAAAGACGAATATACAGTTGGTGGAGGAACTGGAGCAGCAGTAACTGGTGTTGGTGCAAGTTCAGGAATGGAAGTTGATGGCGAAATGAATCAAACGATTCAACATCATCCACCAACACAACCGCCAGCAACAAATAATCCACAACCACAACAACCATTTATGCCCGGTCATTCAACACAAAATCCAGGTATTTTTAACAATTTTTTTTTTTTTTTTTTTTTTTTTTTTGTTTGTTTCCACACACACATTTTTTACCTTCTCTACTAAAAACTCTTTCCAATTTAAAAAAGAAAAAAAATACTATTAACTCTCCAATTTAATTTTGCTTTTGTTCTTTATTTTTTGTTGCATTTCTGCTTTTTATTGTTTCTGTTTTATTTTTTGAATTTTGTTTCGCACAGCCAATGGGGAGGGAATGTTTAGTGGAGGCGGGGGAGTTAATGGTAATAATCCACACAACAAATTGGAAGAGAATAATTGCCCCCGACAGACATGGATTCCCACGCCTCATCACTCTTCAACGCGAAACATACATCATTGTACGTAAAACGGGTTATTTTTTATTTTTACCATATCATTTTGCTTATTTTCAAATTACACGCATTTTTTTTTAATGAACCATATTTTGTTAATCCTACGATTTGTGTAACTCGGAAAAAAATGTAATTATTGTCTCAAAAAAAAAAAAAAAAATTATTATTATTTAATAATCTGATTTTGTTATAATTTATATTCGTTTTAGCTGTAGTACATACGATGGGTCATTCAGTTGGTAACCAACAACAACAACAACAACAACAACCATTAAATACACCAAGTGCTAATGCAAGTGGACAAATTTTAAATTCCAATCAGGGACAGTCTGCTGAACCTTTTTATGGAACTACAACACCACCTCAGGATCTTAATCAACCTCAACCAGCTGTTGATCCATTGGCAGCAACTTTAAGTATGTTTATTTTAAAATTGATTTATTTTTTCTGATTTGTCTTTAATTTGCCTTTGTAAATAATGTGAAATAATTTTTTTTTAAATTTGTATTAAAATTTTCTTTTTTATTTTAATAGGTGGTAGTCAAGGTTCTCCAGTTTCACCGGTGCATTTACATCATCAAAATGGTTTTCCTGTGGCGGCTGTAACGAATCCTTACAATACTGGTGCGCCACAATGGACTGGTGCGAATACTTTAACTTATACACAAAGTATGCAACCTCCCGATCATCGGCATCTTCATACAACATCGTATTGTGAGTTGTGTATTTTGTCTTTTAATTTTAAATTGTATACAATTTCATTATTCCGGGAAAACAAATTATTTTTATATAAATTTTTTTTTTTCATTATTTACTTATTTTAAACAGATATTTTTTAATAAAATTGAAAATTACATTACGAGACGAGCTTAAAAAAGAATTTTTTTCCAATGACAACTTTCTCAAATATTAATATTTTTAAAAAATTTTTGAAAAATCAAATTTGCTAAATAATAATTTTAGCAGAGATCATAACCGAAAAAATAGAAATTTTTAAGAAACCAAAAACCGAAACCCTTATGATAAAAATTTTAAAATCGTTATTTCGGAACCTAAATTTTGCTTTTTCAGTTTTTAAACTTAAAAAACAAATAACTAGGAATGAAACTTTACAATCATCAAAATAAATCGAAGAAAATTTAATCAAAATTTTTTAATAAATCTAAATTTAAATTATTTGAAGTATATTTATTTTTAAAAATTGTAATCGATCTAAATTTAAATTCATTCTAATTCTAAACAATTATCAATTCAATCAATACAAAATTCAATTTATCCAAAATTTCAAACTGTTCAAATGTTATTAAATTTTATTCGATTTAAATTTTAATTTATGTGATCCAAATTTTAATTAATTTTAATTTTTATTGGTCAAAATAAATTTATTAATTCAAATTTTAATCCAATGCAAATTCAATTGATCGAAACTTAAAATTAATGAATTTTCAAATCAATCTGTAGATTAATTGATTTAAATTTCAAATTTTCCGAATTTTAATTACTTTAAGTTTAAAATTATTCAAATTTTAATTAATTGAAGTTTTATATTATTCGAATTTCAATTCATACAAATTTTCAATTTTATTTAAATTTTGAATTTATCCGCAAACTTAAATTAACCCTTAATTTAAAAAAAATATATTTGTCTGTTTTATTTTGTATAGTAAAAATTTAAATTTAGAAAAACTTAAAATTTTTTGTGTGTAAGAATAGTGAGAAAATTTTTTAGGGGGTGCACACGGTGGTGAAGTGGGAGGAAATTTACTCTCAAGTCAACCAGCTCCGGAATATTGGTGCTCTGTTGGTTATTTTGAATTAGACACTCAAGTAGGAGAAACTTTTAAAGTAAGCAGTAGTTGTCCCACTGTTACTGTTGACGGCTATGTTGATCCCAGTGGTGGTAATAGATTTTGCCTTGGTGCACTCAGTAATGTACATCGTACAGAGCAAAGCGAAAAAGCTCGTCTTCACATTGGTAATTTCTTTTTTTATATTACGATATTTCTATTTTTCAATTTTATTTCTTAGGAAAAAAATATCTATTTCATTTATATTTTTATGTTCGCATTTTTTTTCAAATAGAAACTGTAGTATTTTGATGTTTTTTTTTTTTTTTTTGTTAATTTGTTATATTTTAGGAAAAGGAGTGGTTTTGGATTTAAGAGGCGAAGGCGATGTTTGGCTAAAATGTCAAAGTGAGCACAGTGTCTTTGTTCAGTCTTATTATTTGGACAGAGAAGCTGGACGTGCGCCTGGCGATGCTGTTCATAAAATCTATCCAACTGCGTATATTAAAGTTTTTGATTTGAGGCAATGTCATAAACAAATGAGAGGACAAGCGGCCACTGCACAAGCAGCGGCAGCGGCTCAAGCGGCAGCAGTTGCTGGACATCTTACTCATGGAGCGCCAATTACTAAAAGTATTTATCAAATATTCTTATCTTTTTATTATAAAAATAATTTTTACATATTTAACAATTTTCTTAACATAAAATTTATTTATTTTTCATTTATCATTATTCAGGCCTTAGATTGTACGACTTTTTTTTAAATATTTTTTTAACAAACTACGTATTATTAGTATATATAATGCGAATCTTCATCAGAACTTTATTTCAATTATTTAACAAATTTTTAACTAAAATTCTTTTCTAAATTAATTATTTTTTGTAATTTAAATGAAAATTCTTCACAAATTCAATTATCTTAAAGTAATATTTAATTAAAATTTTTATGAAATTTAATAATTGTTTATAATTTTTAAAAAAATTAATAAATAAAATTATTAAAAATTAAAATTCAAAATTAATTGAACTTGAATTAGTTTTGAAAATTTCAATTATAACTATATCTCTTTTGAAATTCAATTATTTTTAATGATTTCTTTTAATATTCTTCAAAAATTCAATAATCTAAAAATTATTTTTCAATTAAAAACTTTGCAATTAAATTTTTGTCTGCAATTTCTAATATGTAAATTCTTTATCAACAGAAATGACCAAAAATTCTGTAAAATTTAATTATTGTCTTAAATTTTTACAAAATCTTTTAAAATTCAATTATTTCTAAAAAAAATTTCAATTGCATTTTTTACAAAAATCAATTATTTAAAAAAGGTTCTAATAAAAACTCTAAAATTGAATTGTTGCCAACAATTTTATAAAAGACTACAGTAGTATACAAAATTTTATAGATACAATTTTTTTTTTTTTTTTTTGTAAAAATTTAATTCCCTTATTTGGAAATTTAATTTCTATAGTTTGTGGAAATTAAAATTAATGTGTTAAAAGGAATAATTTTAATTTGATAATTGCTTAAATAATTAAGTTATTGAAGAAGTTTATTTTAATTTTTGAAAATGATAAAATTTGCATACTATTTTTTTTATAAAGGTCTAAGTGCGGCTGCTGGTATTGGAGTTGACGATCTTCGACGACTTTGCATATTACGATTAAGTTTTGTCAAAGGATGGGGACCAGATTATCCAAGACAAAGTATAAAAGAGACACCATGTTGGATAGAGGTTTGTTCTAAAAATACGTAATAAATTATCTTTCAAATAATTCTTAATAGATTAAAAAAAAAATTAAATTAAATAAAAATCTTCAATAAATTTTATTTATCTATTTAATTAATCATTTTGCAAAATTTGAAAGAAATTTTGATTTTATTATTTTATTGACATTTTTATAACAAGAAATTTAAATTTTTGCAGTAAATTAATATATAAAAATTATTTACTATGAAACTAAAAATCAACTATGAATTTCTGTGACACGAGACAAAATTAGAGGTTTAATAAAATTTGTTTAAAACATTTTTTTTTAAATTTATTCTCAATAAAGGTGCATCTTCATCGAGCGCTTCAACTTCTTGACGAGGTTCTTCACACAATGCCAATCGATGGACCTCGAGGCATCGAATAATTTGAATATTGATAACATTTTTTATCAATTTATATATTGAATGGAAAAAAAAACATTATTTCATGTGTCCAAAAAATAGAAATCCAATTAATAATATAGTGATAACATCACTCAAGACACTCCAATAAATAATCGGAAATCACTCAATAATAGAAAATTATATTTCGTGCACAGCATTATGGAAAGAAGAAGAAGAAGAAAACAATGGTAAGCGATAGTTTTGTATTATATATTAATCCAGCGATTACTTATATAACACGACATTGTTATTTGCTACGAATTTTGTTCTTTTTTTTTTTAAATAGAGTCAAGAATTTTTATAATCAATTAATAAAAATGACACAAACGAATGTTTTTTTTAAGTGAAAGTGAGAAAAATAGAGATGAACATTTTCGAAAAACGAAAGAATGACGAAAAAATAAGTTTGTCCCCTTTTTCAAATATTTAGTGATTTATTTTAAAGAATTCGTAATATTAATTGATTTATTTCTATTATGATTGCAAAAAAAAAAAAAAAAATGTTTTTATATTCAATATTATTAGAATGATAATTATTATTTTTTTTTTTTATTATTGTCATTATTATTGTTGTTGGAGAAGAGGCTAAAAATGTTTCTCAAGGTACAAAGTTCTTTTTTGTAAAAAAAAAAAAAAAAAAAAAGAAGGAAAGGAAAGAAAGAAAAAAATTATGAATTATTGCTTCTTCTCCAATTCGTCAGTGTTGCTATTATGACGTAGAAACTTGTTGAATACTTATATCTAATATTTAAGAAACATTTTATTATTATTATTATTACGTATTTGTGCGAATATTCATAAAAAAATTATATATATAGATAGATAGATATATATTATATAAATATTTAAATCTGTATATGTTTGACAATATTGTCAAGAGGTTTAAAGAGTTAACCAAATATTATTATTGTTCAATGGCAATATTGATAAAACAAAATATTAAGTTCGACATTTGTATTTTTTTTTTTTATTTTTTTTTTTTACTTTTTAAACCACTTGTTCAAATTTTAGAAAAAGAAACAACCAATCGTGTGTAAAACATTTATTTAATCTTGAAATTTTTTTTTTCTGATTTTTGTTTATTAGATTTTCCCTAAAGTTAAAAGCATCCTTGTTAGCAGTTTAGTAAAAAAATTTCTCCCGAAAATGATATTTTATCGAAAATGTTCACAAATTAATTGATTAGTGTTTTTCGTCAGAAATACCAATTTTTTTTTCTTTTTGCAAAATAAGTACGAAAGAAATATTAAATAAATAAAATGGAAGACAAATTAATGTAAGTAAAAAAGTGTTATGCCTTCAAGAAAAAAAAAATGAATGTCACACTGCCTGTACGAGAAAAAATAATACAAATTCTATGAAATTAACAAATAGACAAAAAAAAACAAACAAACAAATGGAGATTAAAATCTCCACACCAACAAAGCATGTGCCATCTTTTTAATATTGTTCGCGGAGAGTAAGAGTTTAAGAATTTTGTACGAATCTTGTATTTTATAACACAGTTTCGATCATAGTGCTCAACTATGACGAATTAATAATAACTTAGAATGTATGAAAGTTTGATTCATATAATGATATTATATAAATGAAATCGAGTTTTATATATTCACAAGAAAAAAAAAAACAAAAACATTATATTAAAAGGCGATAATATTTTCTTCTTTACGAAAAAAAAAAAAAAAATGCGTTTTGCACATTAAATCACATTATGCGCACAATGCATAAAAAAAATTACACTTTTAGGAATGTACGCTTCGATTTTCAAATAATGATTTTTTTCTATTGATATTTTTTGTCAAAAAAATTAAGATAACTAAATTAATAATATAGAAATTTTCCTAAGGATTTAGCTATTTTTTTTTCTTTTTAATTATTTATTATTATTATTTTGATAAATAAATAGAAATACAATTTTTTTAGGGACAAACCCTATAATAGAAAAAAGGCTATGAAAAAGAGAAATAAGTTTATATTCAATATATTATTATAATTATTATAATTACTATTATTAATATTATTACTAAAAATGAGATAATTTTTCTAAACATGTTCATTGTTATTTTTAATAATTTTTATTGCGTCAATTTATGAAAAAAAATTACGATTTTAAAATTTACTCGAGAATTTAAAAAAGGAATTTCTTTAAATTTCGTATTATATTTTGGAATTTTTATCTAAAGTTAAAATATTTTAATTACTATTTTTAAACGATTAATGTTTTCTATTGTATATATATATATATATAATATAGATATTTTTTAGTTAAGTAATTAGTTATTTCGTATTTTATTAAATGAATATATAAAAATTACAAATATGTAAACATTGAAATAATTTTCTAATGTGATTAATTAAATTAAAAATTTGTTTTCTAATGCAATTATTTTCTTCTGCAAAACGTTGAGGAAGGATTAAATTTAAAAACAATATAAAAATATTAAAATTATAGAATTTTGACATTTTTTTTTTTAATTTTTTTTAAAATATTTGAAACGAAGCGTACAATCCTAATTTCTATATGTTAATTATAACGTCATTGACGTTGAAGGTCTATCTCGTTGCGAATTTTCGGCAAAAAAAAAAGTTTAATTCTCAATTCGATAATATGCAAGCCTTAACGTTTCTATAGAAATTATCGAAAAAAAGTGGAATTAAATTTTTTTTTCTGTAATTTTCACGAGTTTTAAAAAGCAAATAGTAGCGTCTTACAATATATTTTGTAAGCGTTTACAAAAAAAAAAATTGAATTCTACTAAAGGGTTCATTAATCATTGAATTCATTTCATTTAATATCGAAGAATTTCACATTAAATTTTTATTTTCTTACAAATAAATTTTTATATATTATATTTGTATCATAAAAATGATTTTAGTTTTGGAAAACAAAATAATTTTTTTTTTTTTCAATACAAATTTTATCACTTGACAAAGTCAATTTGAAATTTAAAAATGAATTGAATTAAATGATTAAAATCTTATTACATAAATGTATATATATATAACTTTTCATTTTTTACATAAATCGTATACATGCGTGACCCTATTGTGTCTAGAAATAATAATAATTATAACATTAATATAATATAAATAATAATGTTTAAGTAACGACGAAATCAGTACAACACTTAAGCATCTGTTAGTCGATAAAAAAAAAAATCACCTAATGTACCTTCACAAACTACATTTATTCCGTTGATCATTGTTTTTCCTAGATATTTTTTCATTTGTTTTTACATTAACAATAAAGTGCAATAGAATCTAAACCTCAAAAAAAAAAACCGGTATAATACATTTAATAGCTAGCACCATAAGGTACATTAAGTAAATAAATTATGTTAACGATGTTTAAGAAAATGATTTGCTATGTCATAAAAACGTGAAGAAAAAAATTACAATCTATAATATTGTACCTTCTCCAGCGATTATTTTAATATGTCGCTCACTTTTTAACACAATAGAATTCGTAAAATTTAATTTTTTAATTTCTGCCTTATTATAAACATTCGATAGATTTGAAAAATTACTTTTATCGTGCCAATTGTGTTTAAAAAAAGAAACAAAACAAAAATTAACATACGAAAATGCGTATTTTTACCACAGATGGAAAGCGTAGAATTTCGAAGATATTTAAAACAGAAATTAACTTTGTAAACTTTTTTTTTTCATTATTTAAAGCCAAAAGGTTTTGATTATATATATAAAAAAAAACAATGTTGATTTCTTGGTCGATTAAAAAAAATACATTTAATGAAGAAAAAAAATGTTTGGCTGAATAAAAGAAATGTTCAATTTCGAAAAAAAAGGCAGCCTCTGTGATAAAGCAGCGATAGTTTTTAGAAGTTTTCGAATTCACCGACTGTTGGAACGATGTTCTTTATATATGTATGATTATCTGTTTTTTTTTAATATTCAATTATATGGAACACCGTTAGGTTCCCTTTTCATTGATTAATAATTATATATATATTTAAATGTCACGTGACACTACACGATACTCTGAAAAAAAAATAATTGAATAATTTTTTGTTTCTGTAGAAAAAAAAAAAAAAAAAAAAAAAGAAGAAGAAGAAGAAAGTTTTATCTTTTCGCGTAATCTCATTTAAATATATAAATCCACGAGACTGACGTCAATATTGAATATTATATTTTATTTAAGTGTATAAAATTTTAAGTTTGAAAAACAATTTGTTTACAACTTTTCTTTATTTGTATTACTTTTTTTTTTTTTTTGCTATTTGCAATTTATAGTAATTTTCTTAGACAAAAAATTTTTTCCACTTCTCTCTATAGGAGAAATAATTTTTTCTCAAAAATTCGTAAGAGTTTAAAAAAAAAACTTTTATCCCCAAAAAATGTAGAATTTTATTTTTATATTTGTATTTATAAATATTTCTGAATATAAATACAAATAATGCAAATAAATAAAAAAATAAAATTTATTAATATCAAAACGTTTTACGTCCTTCCCAATAATTGTTTAAATTTTATAATGACCAAATTTCCGGAGTCCAATTTGGTCATTATAAAATTTAAAAATTTATAAAGGAATAATTGGACAAACAATCGGAGTAAAAGTTTGTTTGAAATAAATAAAAGAAAAATAATAATTTATGCTTCAAAAACATTGCAGTTCAAATATAAAACAATTTAATTTTATTAAAAATGTTAAACAATTAAAAGTTGCCTATTACAACTTTCTGAGAATTGGAAATTTTTGTTTTTAAACAACCTAAAATTATTATTATTATTATTAAAATTATTATTTATTTTTTAATTATTCAAAATATTAAAAATAAAATTTTTCACACTTTTACTGAAATTTAAATGAAATATTCAGGCTTCGAAGCGTAGTAAGAGACTAAGAAAAGTATAAAAAAAATATCCCCAAAATTGAAAAAAAGTATGAAAAAAGTGGCATCTTTAAAATGAAGTAAAATTAGTTTTCTAAGGTGGACGTTAGAGTGTAAATATTTTCTTGTCTTAAAAAAATTGGAAAAAAAATTCTCAGGAATAAAATTAACATCATTTTTCTCCTGATGATTTAAAAAAAAAAGTTTCTATTCTTAAATTTCGATTAACTTTTTGTTTTTAGCACAACGATAGGGAGCGTATGATTATTCTATAAAAATTATTTTTCACATAAATTTTTATTTTACAAAATAGCATTTAACATAGAATTTTTTTTAAACAAATTTTTACTCTACGGAATTTTTATTTAACAGAATTTTTATTTTACAAAAATTTCTCTTTACTCAACTGTTTCTTGAAAAGAATTCTAATTTAACCTATTTTTAATTTATTAGAATTCTTATTTAGTAGAATTTTAATTAATTCGAATTTTTTAATCCTAGAACTTTGAATCGGAAATTTATATAAAATATTCAGTATTTTAAAACAACAATTTTAATTAAAAATGTCCAAAAATTCAATTATTTTTAAAAATTTTAACTCGAACTCTTCCAAAATTCAATTATTTCTAAAATTTGTATATAAAATTCTTTGCTGAATTAATAATTTCAATAAATTTTATCCAAATTATTCAAAAATTCAATTAAAAAAAAAAAACCATTTTTTAATTCAAAATTCTCTAAAATTCAATTACTGTTTGAAACTTTGTTAATAATTTTCAACAATTCTAATTTATTAAAATTTTAATTTAAAATCTCCTAAAAAATAATTATATAAAGCAGTAGTTCACGCGGCCAAGAATAAATTATCAACTTGGCTTTTAGGAAAGAAAAATTCGCTAAAATTTAAAATTATTGAATTCTGTCATTTTTAAAATTATTTTTTGAAAAAAGTAACATTTAGTAGCTTTTGGTCATAATTAGTAGTAAAAAAGTCTGTCACTTCGAAGCCTGTTATACGAATAAGAATTATTATTCTTTATCTTTTAATTATTCAAAATATTAAAAAAAAAAAAAAAATTGTTCCCACTTTTACTGAAATTTAAATTAAACATTGAAAAAAAGACGAAAATTGGAATTTGAATTAACTTTTGTTTTTGACTGTTCGTCTCTGAATTTTTTTTTTAAGGGCAGGAAATGTTATGTAAATATTAAAGAAAGTAACAACTTCAAGAAATTGACAAAATAAATTGTAAAAAAAAAGTTAATTAATATCTCCATTAAAAAATTGTTTTAGAGATTTAAAAAATATTTATTTTCAATTGACGTCATTCTAAATTCTCTCTTCCCTTTTTTCAGTTTATCCACTGTAATAAGTAAATTAAAAATTGTCACATATATTAAAAAGAATGGAAATATTTTAGAAACGTGACTTTTTAACTATTGTAATAAGCAAAATAAATCGACAGGATCTCTTGAATTGAGTTACAGCGTTAATATTCTTGAAAAAAAAAAAAAATTGAAAATTTAACGATTTTTATAATGGAAAATTATTTGTTTAAATCTGCTGCCAATTAATGACAGGTTAGATTTTCTTTTTTATATATATTGAAAATGTGTTTTTTGTTTTCTTGTAAATCCAGGGTTTTTTTTTTACCGAATAAAAATCGTGTGTGTCTAAGCCAAAGATGTTCGGATTATATATTTATATTGTTGCATTACGATTAACTGGAAAATGTATATTTACTCAAAAGCTGTATACAACTATTCTCAATAATAAATAGTGTCACAACCCAAAAAAAAAAAAAAAAAAAAAAAAAAAAATAATAAATTGTGGAATCTGATACTAAAGGTGTGTCGTTTATTAATCTTTTCTTGATTATAAAACATTTATTTTTTGTTTTTTTTTAATATATTTACAAACTCTTAAAATAATTTATCGTTGAACAAAATTAAATTGTTCCTTTGGATTTTTTTGTTCATTAAATTTTTGTTTTTGAATTGCATTTAATTCGCTGTCGTTATATTTTTTACCATCAATGTCTATTGCATAATTATAATTAACAGTGTCTTTTAAAAGTTTTTCAATTGCTTCATCAATATTATCATTGGTTATTAAAGTGGGAATTAATTCCTTTGCTTTTTTTATTTCTTCCTCGGCAATTTTTAAATTTAATGCTTTTCTCTGTTTATTTTTTTCAATTGCAGATAAAATTTTTTGTTTCTTTAATTCCATTTCATTATTTAAACGTTCATCTCTTTCAATTGATATTTTTTTATTCCATTCATCATTTATTTTCGAACATGCCAAAAAATCGTCTTCTTTTGCCTTTTCCATTAATGCTGAATTTAATTCAATTTTATTTTCATCAGAAATATTTATGAAATATTTCCTGTAATGTGAAAATTAATTAAATATAAAATTTGCTGAAAAATATATTTAAATTTATGTGAAAAAAAAAATTTTTCAAAATTTATTTTCTTTAAAATGTACCTTAATGAATTTACAGTTGTTCTATAATGATTGAACATTCGTTTTATTTCCTCGGATTCTTCTGGGGGAACAACTGGTCTTGGTGGTATTTTAAATAATTTACTTTTTGCCATAGGAAGCCATATTGGTTTTCGTTTCCATGTGCTGTTGACACTGAGTTTTACAAATTTTTTCGCCCATGGTTGCGCCATTATTAAAAATTGGAAAAAAATAGACTTCTAACAAATTTGTCTCTAAAATATAAATATTCAAGATTGATTTTCTTGTATTAGTACTGAAATTAACAATAATTAATATTTTAATTAAATTTTTTACGTTCCTCAATAGTGTAAATATTTAAAAACGAACAAAAAGAGCAAAAATAAAACTTATTATTAATTAATTTATTCAATTAAAAACAAAATATTGATTATTTTATTTTTTTAGTATAAATTGTAGTTAATCTAAAATTCAATTATTTTGAAAATTTAAACCAAAAAGTAATTGTGAAATTAATTATTTTCAACAATTTTAATGAAATTCTTTAAAAATTCAATTATTGAAAATAAATTTTTTAATTATTTAATTATTGTCTGTAATTTGTACAAAAAAAAAATCTTCGTCAATTAAATTATAAAAAAATTGTAATTTAAAATCTCTTGAAATTCAATTATTTCTAAAAATCTTAAAAAATCTTTTCTTCTCTTGAAAAACTCATTTTTTTTTTAAATAACCTAAAATTCTTCGACAAATTCATAATTTTCAATAATAATTATCTGTTCCAATTAAAATAATTTTTATCAATTATTTTTAAAATTCAATTATTTAAAATAGTTTTTGCTAAAAATTCTCCAATTTCACAAAAAATATTTTATTTTGTTGTTTCAATATTTTTTCTTCGTTTTTAAATATATAAAATAATTATAATTAATTTGTTTATTAATTAAACTGTAAATTACTTTATATTGTTTAATTAACAACGGTAAATATTACAATTTGAGTAATTTGTTAAATGTTCGCTAAAAATTGAAACTTAAAATTTTTACATAACCTATAATAATAAATAAATTAAATTTAACCTATAAAATAGAAGAATAATTATAGAATAGAATTATTAAAAGCAATTATTAACAAACAAAAAAATGTATAAACATATAATTAAACATACCTTTACTTATCGTCTATACAATTATATAGAAACCAAAGAAAAACAAACTATTTTTAGGTTAGGTAACTCCTTGTAAGCACAAATGACATACGAGAAATCATTGTTTCATTATAATTTAAAACTGATGGTATAAATGGTATAAAGTTGTTAAATTGTAATTTCCTTGAATATGTCGAATTATTTTTACAATAACAAATTAAAAACGTGAAAAAAATAGTTATTGTTCAAACTCAACAGAATGTTTCTTTAAATTTCTTATAAAAAATTTCCCTGCGTGAACAGTGAAAGTTTCCAATTTTCTTATATGAAACTTCTGGAAATTTATGAAAATTATAGGGTTCAAATAAATTTATAATAAAATAATACGAAATTAATTAAATTATACGTGTTTAAAAAAAAAAATAAGCTAATAAAAACATACCCAATATTTTTTAAAGATGATTTTTTTTTTTACTATGAATTCTATCTATCGATTTCTTAAAAACGATGGTTTCCACTTTGATGTAAGATCTTCGGATTCTTCTTTTTGAATTTTCATTTCCTCTTCTTCAATTTTTATCTAAAATCAGTATTATTATTTTATTTAATTTAAAATAATACACAAATTTAATTTTAAATACAGTGTTCATTTGCATATTGTAAAATTAATTTTTTTTTTTTTTAAATGAAAAATGTATCCATTTATATATAGAGATTTACCAAAAGTTTTCGTTGATTTTCCCTAAAGGCTTCTAATGGATTATTAAATTGTTTGTAATAATTTAAAGTGTCCCTAACGTCAATTACTTGCGAGACATGAAGAGCTATTTATCGAAAAATGTTATTTTTTTTATTAATTAATTAATTAATTAATTATTTAAGTGATTAAAATTTTTAAAAAACGACAAACTTTTGAGAAATATTGCTAAATCGTATAGATTTGTGTCATCGTCATTTCCAGACCATCGGGGAATTTTTAACATATTCTCTGGATGATATTTTACACTCTGTTCATTCCAATCAATAACAATTACCTGAGCGCAAATAAAAAAAAATGCAATAATTAATTATATAAAACAATTTAGTATATGATTATTTTTATATATTATAAATTAAATTTTTAAATGTACATTTTTTTTTATTTGCATAAAAATGATGTATTTTTAAATGATATTTTTTAATAATTTCCCCTAGAGATGCAATTTATTAAAAGTCGATTATTTTAATTAAAGAATAATTTTTTATTACACACTTTATTGAGATCTCTATTTAGTGAACTTAAATCCTTCACATGATGACCATTGATAAAACGAGTAGAATCTCTAATTAATCTATACATAATATATCCATGAGGATCTAAAGCATCTAAGATAGGGAACGCAGTCTGAAAATTTTACATAGTAATTTCAAAAAAAAAATTTTTAATTAAATTAATAAAATTGGAAAAAAAATTTTGAATGAAAATTTCCCTTGGTATGCCCGATATACTAATAGAAATTGAATAAAGTTATAATAAAATTTTTAAAAGCTTTGAATTAAAGTTTTAATTAAATTAAAAATAAAAAATTTACATTTAATTAACAGAAAAATATTAATAATATTCACTAACCGTTCCATTTACTGCAGTGAATACTACAACTTCAAATAGAGGTGAAGCAACAATTTCAAGGAATTTATCAACTCCTGGTCGTTTTTTGAATCTCCATCCCGTTTGGTACTGCGGGGGAAAAAAAAATAAATATAGATATGAAAAAAAGAATTTAAATAATTGAAAATTTATAAATTATTTCACTAACTGTCCAATCTGGATGGATCAATAAATCCATTAATTCTAGAACTAATGTATATTGTGGTTGAATATATGGATATGGCAGAGGATCTGGAAGTAATTTATCTCTACTTGGTTCCTGAGCAAGCTGTAATATATATTTCAAATCGCTCAGTCATTAACTAAAATTATTATTAAAGCAAATTTCAAACAGAATTTTTAATCTTAAATAGAATTTTTAATATATACGTACAAGATAAGAGTTTTTAATAATAACAACATTTTTAAAACAAATTCTTGTTTTATGATAAATTTATAATAATAAATATTTATGTTATAATGAAAAAAAAAATTATTTGATTCAAATAATTGGTTACTTGTCTATTATCAAATAAATATTTACTAGAAATAAATAATTTTTATTTAATTCATTTAAATTGTATTTGTTTCAAATACAGAAATTATTGGTTCAAATCAAGTTTAGTTAATTTAAAAAAAAAAAAATTATTTTGTCCAAGTAAATATTTATTTGATAATAGTAAAAAAAACCCTTAAGGGGACTTTCTGGTTTAGAATTTCAAAAAAATCGATTTTTTTTTTTTTGCTTAAAAATGTTCCATAGTATCATAGAATTACTGTCCCAAAACGTTTTTTAAAAAATATGTACAAAAACAAAAGTTATAACAATATTTATGACGGTATGTATTTCAACAACAATCTACAGTTATCTTATTTACATATTTGGTGTTCCTCTTTTATTGATATTAGCTTGAAACATGTTACTCGAGGGTTTTTGGGGTCGCTGATTACGAATTTGATGTCAGTTTTTGAAAATACAAAATGGCGGATCCAATATGGCGGACGAAAAAATAAAAATTCAACCGGATTTGCTTAAAACTTGTTACTCGGGGGTTTTTGGGGTCGCTGATTACGAATTTGATGTCAGTTTTTGAAAATACAAAATGGCGGATCTAATATGGCGGACAAAGATTAAGAAATTAATTAAATTTAGTTGAAAATGATTACTTGTGGCCTTTTGAGATTGCTAGTTATGAATATAGGCACAAAACATTAACGTTCTAGGAACGTTTTAATTAATTAAAAAAGTTAATTTTTTATTTTGTAGTCCGCCATATTGGATCCGCCATTTTGAATTTTCAAAAACGGACATCAAATTCGTAATCAGCGACCCCAAAAACCCCCGAGTAGCAAGTTTTAAGCAAATCCGGTTGAATTTTTATTTTTCGTCCGCCATATTGGATCCGCCATTTTGAATTTTCCAAAACGGACATCAAATTCGTAATCAGCGACCCTAAAAACAGCGGGATACGAAGTTCTGTTGTAATAAAAAGTTGTTTGATATTCATGACTCAATGAATTATGTTATGAAAACTTTGAACGCGTTTTTCTCGAAAACTCATTTTTCAAACTGGTACAGAGCTTTTCTCGAAATCTACCGAACCGATTTTGAAATCCCAAAAATTTTTCGATTCTTTATTTAAAAAACTGGGGCCTAAACCTCTAAAAACTCATATTTCTACCCCCTGTGTTTTTATATGGAGGTAAATTGACCCAAAAACACGGCGTTTTTGCGAGTTTTTGAGAAAAATGTACATAAAAAATAAAAAAACCTTTAAAAAAAATCGTTTTTGAGATTTAGGCCCCAGAATAAATCCTTATGAAGAGATTCCCGTTTGGAACTTGAATTTATGTATTACAGGTTGCCCGGAAACTAACGTACCAAAAAAAAGGTATCTTTTGGGAGACGTCACCTACAGCTATGAAATTGAACTAAATACACTCAAACATATTTTTTAAATTTTTTCTACGCAATGTGCTACAATGTCCAAAAATAGTTTTTACAATTTCTTTAATACTGTTCTTACAATAAAAGTTTTAAAACCTTCCTTTTTTGTCAATTCTAAACCAGAAAGTCCCCTTAAAAACATTGAATTCTCCTAAAATTTATTTTTTTACCTTGAAAATATTTTAATTACTTTGAATTTTAAAACAAAAACTTGAATTATTCAAATTTTATTCAATAATATTTATAGTTTACAATACTATAAAAATCTCAGTTTAAGATGAACGGTTCAAATTCAAAGAATTAAATGTGATTTAAACAAATTTTCCATTGACAAAATGGATTTCAAGTAAATTTAAATTGAAATTTTTTGAAAACTATTAAAATTATTAATTTGGCGAAAAATTTACTTAAAATTATGAAATAATTAATTTTTTTAATAATAATAATAATAATAATAATAATAATAATAATAATAATAATAATAATAATTGAAGAAATTCTAAAAGAAAATACCTCTTTGATGTAGTTGAATTTATTCAGTAATCTTTTAAACATTTGCTCCATAAATGGTAAATGTGTAAATTCATCTTTGATAATGTCTCCATTTTCACTGTATTGAGGTTTGACTATTTCATAAATCAAATAAAAGCCAGTAATCCCAAGGGAGAGAGTACAAAAACCAATATAGAATTTCATGAATGAAGAATTAGTTTTACGTTCTTTTTTATTTTCACTTTTATTATTTTTTTCTTTTATTTTATTTTCTTCAATTTTATCAACATCTGACGATGATGACGATGTAGATTGTATATTCATTAAATTCTCCGTTATTTTTTTCTCTATTGCTGTGAAAAACATATATATACAAATAAAATAAATAATAGAAAATAATTTAAAATTTTTTGAAAGATTAAACAAACAAAAAAAAAATAAAAAAAATACAAACCTTTTGTACAAAAAGTGGTATTTTGATTTTTATTTATAAAGGTTAATATTTTTATTGAATTCTCCATGTTCCAGTGTATTTCAATAATTCTTCTTCTACGATGAATTGCACACAAAACTCTTAAATTCCTTGATAAAAATGATAACATTTTTCTTGCAAAAATCTGCAAAAATAAAATAAAATAATAGACCTAAAAATTAATTATTAACGTTAATATTTTCAATTTAAAGAAAATAATAATTTCGCATGTCATTTATTTATTTTTCTAAAAATTATGGAATTTTTTGTCAATTTTCATTTATTTTTTGTTTTCAATAAAATAAAGTTCTTATCAATAAATAAATTTTTCGAAAATTATTTTTTTTTCTATATTTTTGAAACATTCTAAAATTTCAATTTATTCTATAACTACATTACAATTATAAAAAAATTGTTATTTTTCTCTCTGATAAAGAATATGACAATTTAAAAAAACAAAGTTCATCATATGAAAAAATGTTAATATAAATATATAAAGAAAAAAAGCAATATATAAAATGTTATTGCAAATAAAAAACATTTCTGACCTTTATATTAGAAATTTTTGTTTCTTTTTTTTAAATGATTGCACATGTATTTATAGTATATATAATTAGTCCCACTGCTGGAGGATCTCATTAAAAATATGGCACGAGTACTTGCTGGTCTTTTCTATTGTGTCGCTCAGGTTGGAGCCCTTATTCGTGCGTCAGTTTTCGTGAGGGAAGTTGCTCCACTTATGTACTATAAAAGTTCATCACCGTTTCTCTTATTTATTTCTTTCTTCATTTCCCGGTTATAATTTATAATTTTGCAAATTTTATTTACAATCAAAAATTAAAATGATTAAATAACATAATGATTCAAATTTACATCTAAATCATATAAACATAATTATTATTATTGTAAACAATGATTACAATAATTGATATAAATATACTTTTTATAAAACAATAATTATAATTAATAATTATTAATTAATTTCTTTAATATTTGAATAAATAATTGTTTTTAAATATAAAGGAGACATAAATAATTATGATTATATAATTTACAAATGTAAATTTAAAAAAAAAATTAACGGTAAATGAACAATAAAGAATATTTTATCGAAAATTAAACTAAAAACAATAATGTATAGTGTTCATGTAACGGAAACAAGTGGACCAGGATCATCAAGAGGTTCCACTACTGAAATTGTTTATAAAACCAGGCGAAGAGAATCAATGGCAGTAAAAGTTTTCAATTACATACGTTCACAATTTCAAAGTGACGAAATTCCTGGTAAGTATTTTTTTTGATTTTCGCATTCATATTTATTTTTTTTTTTTTTTAGCGAATATTACTTTTCACTGTAGTTATATAGCCAATAAAAAAGCATGAATAAAATTTTCCTCAAAAATATAATACTTTTTTTTTTTTATTACTAAAAAGAAAAACACTTTTTTAAAATGAAAAAAATTTGCATGAAATAAAAATAAATTTTAGCAAAAGAAAGAAAATAAAAAATAATAATTTATTATGTCGATAAATTTAGTAAATTTCAAAAATTTGTATTTTGAAAGTAAAATTGAAAAGTGTTTTATATTTTGAGAATATTATTTATATTATGAAATTGACAAGAATATAAAAACAAAAATGATAAGGAAAATTTCACATCTAATTGAATACAATGTAGTAATATTTATTAATAGTGTTGATACAAAATAGAAAGAATTTATATTAAAACTAAATAAGAAATTCCCGTCAAAAACTTCATTTCTTACCAAAGTTCTCTAATATTTCTGTTAAATTTGTTTTTGTATTCATTCTTTTTTCTACATATATATTTATCTATGTGAATATAAATAATATTTTAAAGGCGAAATAATAATTATTCTTCAACGTCATTTTTTCACTAAATTAATAAATTTAATAATTATCAAGAAAAAATATTTAAAAAAAAATTATTTCAAAAATATATTTATCAATTTTTCTTAATAATTATTAAAAAATTGTTTTTTTTTTTTTTTAATTTAGAAATTCATTCGCTGAATATAAACACATTTTTTTTACTACTTTTTGAATGTTTCACAATAATTTTTTTTTTTTATTTTTTTTTTTTTTTTATAAATAAAGTTCTGTCAAAAATGCTTGTCTTAAGTTAGCGATTTTTGTACAAAAATCTGCTTTGTAAATAATTAAATATCAGACATGACAACAAAACTTTTGAAAGTATAGAATCATAATTAATTTAATTTACAAAAAATACATATTAATATAAATATTTGCAATAATGTGTAATCATAAAACAAGCATTTTCTTTTGCAATAAACTTATTTTAAGTTCTTTTTTTTAAACTATAAGATATAAATTTTTTCATTTAAAATTCCAGTGAAAATAAAATATTTTCAATAATTTGCGGAAGAAAACAAAAAAAAAAAAACTTTCTTGCAAATAAAAGTAATTTTAGATTGATTATGATTCTAAACATAACATATTGTAATAGCCCATTTTTATTTAATGATAATGTTTCTTTAAATATAGTAATTTCTAAAATTTCAGTGGTAATTTTGAATTTCTAAAATATGTAAATAAATAATAAATTCTAAATGTAGACCACGAAATAATAATACTTTTAAAGAACACAAAAACTATTTAAGAATAGGCAAAAATGATAAAAAAAAAATGTTTTTACTTTTAAAAAAATTTGAAAATTCATTTTCAAAATTATGAAATTTTTATAACTTAAACTTTTGAAATTTCATTTTTTTTTTCGTTTTAATTAAATTTAATTAAATTAATTCTAAGCGATTAGTGTCTAAATTATTCTAAATTTTTAAAGCAATGATTTGGATCAAAATCTCTTTTTTAATTTGACTTTTAAATCAATATTGAAACAGAGATACCAAATATTTTTGATTTTCAATGGTAACTTTGTTTTTCTATGAAACTATTATCTACTACTTACAATTAGTTAATTTTTATTTAAAAAAAAAAAAGAATGATATTCTTTAGATAGAAATTGCATAGAAAATGCGCGCAATCGAGTGACTTTTTTTTCTCTTTTTTTGAAATCTCAATGTGAAAAAATATTTCTTTTCTATTTGTCACATTTTGGCATTTCAAATGCTTTACTTTAATTTCACACTGTTTTTATCATTTTACGATCTTTTTGAAACAGCAAAATGAAATTAGGAAATTTTTTTTACATTTTTTTTTAGGTAATAATTCTACAAATTGTGTTAGCGTTAATATTACCTTTCATAATTTAAAAAAATTATGAAATCAAATTTTTAAATAGATATTAATGCCAAAGAAAAAAAATGAAGTCATTGTTTTTTTTTCCTAAGAGAAATTTTCTGCTTTTTAAAAGCTAGAATATTATATATATATATATTTATTTAATAATTGAACGCATTATTCGGGAATCGTTTCACAAGATGTTGAGAGATAATCGTTAGATTCATTGCCATCTTGATTATTGAAATCAGTGATCCAAACCTCCTGAATTGGTTCAGGTTGAAAACTGTCGTCTGATCTGTAATCTATTGTAATACTTGATTCGTCACTTTCTGTTTCCTTGCCATTATTAACAGGTAAGTTTGCCATTCTCATACCTGTTGTTGAATCGCTGTAGACCAAACTGTTTGAAATGAATGTATGACATCGACCCGCTGTCACGAATTCAGCACGCTCAACATTCTCTGAACTTGATGAACCTGACAATGGACAGGACAATGGTGGTGCAAAACAATAGACACTTGAAGTTTGATTTAATTTTGTGTAATCAGTTGATCCTCCCGTACTGAGATTTAATATATTTTCCAAACGTAAATCACTTGCATTATTATCCGACCATTTTGGCCAATACATATCTATTGGATCTAAAAAAAAAAATAAAAGAAAAAGAAAAAGAAAAGATTTTTTAAACACATCAATTGAAACAAAATTTTCATTATAATTATCCCTGACATTTCTCTTATTTTTAGAAAATATTTTGTATTTTTCACTGACATTTTCGAAATTTGTTATTTTTTTTTTTTTTTTTTTTTATCAAATGTGAATTCTATTTTCGAAAAATGGCGATAAATTAAAATTCGATCAAATGAAAATTATGTTACACAAACATTGTATAAAGAGCAATTCAAATTCTTAAAAACATATTAAAAACATAACATAAAATTACATATTTTCAAAAGTTTTAATGAAATTTTTTTTAAAAATTTAATTATATTCCAAGGTTATTAAATCAAATTTTACGAAATTTCAATTACTTACAATTCTTTTAATTTAATATATAATTATTTTTAAAAGTAAAATTTAAATTGAAAATTATGAATTGAAATTATTTTTGAAATTTTCAATTAAAAATCTTTTGAAAATAAGAAAAAGTCAAAACTTTTAATTGCAACTCTTTCAATATTGATTTATTTCTATTAAATCTGTATAATTTTGTTATTTACAAAAAAATCAACTGAAAATCTGCAAAATTTATCATTTTCAAAAAATTCAATAAACTTCTTCAAGATAATTTAATTATTTAAGCAATTACCAAATTAAAAATATTGATTTTAATTTCCACAAAATTTATTTATTTGTAAAACAGTTATATTTACCGAAAATTTCATTTTATTATTAAAAACTTTGATTTTAGTTTTTTGAGATATCAATTATTTCTAAATATCGAAATTAAATTTTTACAAAAAAAATTGTACCTTTAAAGTTTTTTTTATTACTTTTAAATAGTTTTCAAATTTTCAATTGAAAATCTTTTAAAATTTAATCATTAACAAAAAAATTTAACTGATAAACTTCGAAAATTTAATTAATTAAAAAATTTTTTACAAAAGTTCTACAAAATTTCATTGAAAGAAGAAAAATTAAAAATTCTCTAAAACTCAATTATTATATTAAATATTTAAAAAAAAATCTTGAGCAATTTAAATTTACAAAAATTCCAATTTCAAATCTTTCGAAATTCAATTAATTAGAAAAATCTTAATAGGAACTATTTGAAAATTTAAGCACTTGAGGGCTCAGATCGAATTGAAGGTTAAAAAAAAGTCGTTTTAGTCAATTTTTTTAAAATTTAATTAGTTAACTAATTAAATAGGACAAATTACTTTAAAAAAAAATTATTAAAGTTCCATTTTAAAAATTTTTTGAAGTTGATTTTAAAATTTTGACGTACTTTTTAGTTTTAACGGTTCAACAAAATTTTGGACAATAATTAAGTTTTACAGATTATGAAATTATTTTTAAAAAATACTTGAATTGTAAAAGATTTTAAATTTGAAATAAATTTTCTATTAATTTTAACTGCTGTAGTCTTTTATAAAATTTCTGACAACAATTCAATTTTAGAATTTTTATTTGAAAATTTTTTTTAATTAATTGTATTTTTAAATAAATATTAAAATTATTAAAAATAATTGAACTTGAGAAGAGTTATAGTTAAAATTTTTAGAAATAATTGAATTTCAAAAGATTTTGTTAAATTTAAGACAATAATTAATTTTTACAGAATTGAAAATAATTTATCAAATTATTTTAGATAACATTTTTTAAAAATAATTGAATTTTCGATGATTCATAATTTCAAATGATTTTTAATTGAAATTTTTGGTGATTTTTATTGATGAACAATTTATTAGAAATTATAAACAAAAATTGAATTTCAAAAATTTTCAATTGATAAATGTTTTGAAGAATTGAATTTTTGAAGAATATTATAAAAAAATTTTTTAAAATAATTGAATTCGATCTTATGATCGATGAAATATTTTATTTTTGTTTATATAAAGATCTTAAATATTATACAACTATTTTTTGTTATCTTAATTTTATTCGAATTGTATTTGAACTTTAATGGTCTTTCGATTGTCGGCTCAATATCTTGTTTGATAATTTTATTTGTTGATTTTTTTTTTATTTTAAACAATTATTGAATTTCATAAAAAAAAAGAAGTGTTTCGTTAAAAAATTTTGTAAAAATTGAAAAAGGTCGAAAAAGTCGTAGATCACTAAAAGTGTTATTGAAAACATTTTTTTGCTTGTCTAGTATTATGCAATAAAATTTTTAATTTGTAAACCATCACTTTTATTTTAAAAAAATCATTCTAAAATTTCCTTTAATAATTATTTTTGAAAATTTGATTTTTTCAAGAGACTTGGAACTTCAAAGTAAATCAAAAATTTAGTTATATAATTTATTTTATATTTTTTTAATATATAAAAATCAATTGAAATATTATTATTGAAAAATTGAAGATTTAAGAAAAAATTCAAGTTGAATTCATCTTTTTCTAGAATTAAATTTTAAAAAATTCAAATTCAATTTATCTTTCTCTTGAATTAATAGCAGTTTATCAAAATATTATTTTTGCTAGAAATTGATTACGTATGAAAAAAAAGAAAATTTTCTTTTCAAAAACTTACTATTTCTGTCCTTTTGAGCCGCTTGATTTTGATAGTGAAAATTTTCCCCACCTGAATATGTGGCGGAAGTTGTAACAGCATCCTGTGAATAAATTCCAAAAGAATCTTGTGTATGTACCGGATTATATGAATTTGATACATTTACATTAAATGAACTGTTATTACAAATAACCGACGAATGATTTTGTTCATAACATTCTGGTCGAAATTGTTGAATTTGTTGCTGCTGTTGTTGTTGTTGTTGCTGTTGTAAAGGATAATAATGCATATTTTGAATTTGCATACTATTATTTTCCACAATTGAATTGACATTCTGTCCGAAATTAGTGATATTCATATCATTTTGAAATTGATAATTATTCACTTGTTCATCAACTGAATAAGATGGATAAATTCTTGATGTATCGGCCGTTTCCGTATAATCAATTGGACCTCTATAATCTAATGAATTATCAATCCAAGATTGACAATTTTCTTGAATAAAATTCCCCGTACTATTTATTTGATATCCATTTTGTGAATTATTTTGTAAATAATTCATCATCATTTGATCGAGATTAATTTGTGGAATTTGATTTTGTTCATTGAACATTGTTTGTGATCGTCTATTATTGTCAAATATATTATAACATTCTCGTTCATTCCACTCTTCATCACAACTTTCTGAATCGGCAGTAATTGTGTCAGAATTATTATCATCAATGTCGCGTAACGAACGATAATGTTCAATTGGCCACATTCGATTTGCCTCAAGACGTGCCATTGCACCTAAATTTGTTCCAAGTGGCGCTTGTAACATTTTTTGTAGTATCATTGGTTTATAACTATTATTATTATTATTATTATTATTATTCGTATTATTCTCATTGATATTTCTTAACGAATGAGATTCTTGTGTTTCAAAAATTGGCGAGGGCAAAAATGATTTTGCCTCCGTTGGATTTGTAAAAACATTTGACTGATGAGTGGAAAATTCCATTGGACCGGCTTTTAAATTTAATGCCGCCGTATCCAATTCTCCGTCATTATTATTTGTATCGAAATTTTGATAATTTTTCTGAATTCTCTGAATTAAATATTGACGAAACATTTCGTAATTAGGATCTTCTCTTTTTATCATTTCCTCCTCTGGTACCGTCTACAATTTACGTTATAAAATTATATTAATTTAAATTTTTTTTAAAAAAGTACAAAACAATAGTACAATAAATATTGAAATAAAATAAAATCTTTGTCAATCTTATTAAAAAAAAAATTATATTGTTGCTGACTAATTTTTGAAAAATATAATACTTTGAAGAAATGATTTTGAAATTATTAAAATCAATCAAAATAATTTTATTAAAAATTTAATTATTTATTGTAAAAAATGAATTTAAAGTATATTTGAGCCACTTTCTTCATTTTATTAAGTCCTTAATAAGAATAATTCAATACGAATATTATCAAGAAAATTTATTTCGAATATTTCCGAATCGAAGATGTATATTTTTAAAATTTTAATTAAGGTAAACGTACACAATTACGGCCTAGTACGTTATTACGTGCTATTTCTTTATACTAATTGAAATAAGAAATTGATAAAATGTTTCAACAAGTGAAAAATTGCAACACAAACTTTGCTATTTATTAGATCAATATTCTGTGTTTTAATTGCATCTATTTTGTTTATGTATTGAAAATAAAAGTTTTTGTCAGTCAGTCGACGACTGAGCTTTGTGCAATACAATATACTTTAAGTGACAGCTAGGACTGAAGGTGATCTTCGTAAGGATATTAAAAGTGAAGTGTGTTTATTTTTTAATTTATTTTTTAATTTGTTGATTAATTATGATCTATTTAAATTATATTTTCTATTGCTGAATTATTTTTAAAAGTTTTCTTTATATAAAAATACTTTTTTAAATAGACGGAATTATGTTCGCTCTTCTCACACGAAGTACATTATTCCGTTTGAAACACGTAAATAGGGAATTACATTGTTTTATATTATACTTATTTTAATGAATCTAATAAGAATATTAAATGTGTTTACATTTTTTAACAAAAAATGAAATTATAAATAAACAAATGAGGTAATTGCGTACTAGTATTTTATTAACCATATTTGAAATATTTTATTAGAAATTATACGAACGGAATTAGGTTCAAAACATTTTATACATACATTCATTATTCCGTGCTATACGCCGTATTTAAGTTTAAGTAAAATGGAAAAAGAGTTTGTTCACAATTCTTTAATTTTAAACTTATTAATTATCATTTCAAGAGGCAAATTTTTAAAAGTATCGTTTTTTATAAGAATTATTAGGTATTGTCACGAAAATAATTCAAGCAAAATGTGAAAAAATATCAATTAAAAATTAATCAAATGAGTGGGACAAACTGGCGCTGGCTTGATAGAGACGATATCCTCATCTACGATGCTCAAGATGTTTTAAAAAAACTGAATCCTCTAGTATTATTTGATGACCGTAAAGTATATATGTTTAATGATTTATAATATTATTTCAAAACAAGTTAATGACCAAAGCGAGTAACCAAAGAAGAAAAATAATGACTGAATATTACAAAAGTTATCATTTGAATAAACATTATTTTATTTGACATCTGTGTAAAAAATTCCCTTTTAAACACAATCTTAAACTAATTTTAAGATTATGTTATTAATATTCTTATAAGAATAATTATTATCAAACAAATTGATATTTTATATATAAGTATGTGTGAAAACCTGGAATATGCCGCAATTATGGACAAGTTGGAACGGAATTAGTTACATGACAATATTTTTAAAACGGAATTACATACAATTGAAAGGATTTAAAATATATTAAAAAATAATATAAATTTAATTTTTGAACAGATATATAAAATGAAAAATTGAAAATGATTGATTAATTTTTACAATACAATTGTTTTCTTAAATTTTAAGTTACTTGATAAAATAAGAAAAATAAAATTCTCAGGAAGGGCCTTAACATGCCGTAATTGTTTACATTTACCTTAAGTAGGACAAATTTATAAAAAAAAAAAAAAAAAAAAAAAAATTCTGACAACAATTTTATTTTAGAGTTTTTATTTGAAACTTTTTTAAATAATTGAATTTTTAATGAAATATTAAAATTATTAAAAATAGTAATTAAACTTTGAAAGAGTTATATAGTTGAAATTTTTAGAAATAATTCAATTTTAGAAGGTTTTAAATTAAAATTTTTGAAAATAATTGAATTCAAGTGTTTTTGAATTGAAATTTTTTGGTGATTTTTGTTGCTGAAGAATTTAATTAAAAATTTAAAAAAGAAATTCTATTTTAAATTTAATTTAAAAATTCTTTCAGATAATTTAATTTTCGAAGAATATTAATAAAAATGGGTATAAATAAATATTATTTAAAATATATTTTAGATAAAAATTTAATTACAATAAATTTATATTAATAAAATAGTAATAAAATAGTTAAAATATTTTTAAATAAATTTACAGTTTATTTCTTAACCTCTATATGTGAAATTATTAAATTTCAAAAAGTTGTAGATGGAAAATTTTAAAAGATTTAAAAATTGAAATTTTTGGCTATTTTATTTTTGCTTCCTCGTGGAGGAAGCTTTGTAGTCATTTCGTTTGTAAAAATTTTCAAAGTGTCGGAAACAAATTTTTCTCTATATAGAAACATGTTATATGAGATCCTGATCAACTGTCCGGATGTATGTGTGCGTGTGTGTGTGTGTGGATCCCTTTTTTGTTTAGAAGATAACTTTAACAGGTTTTAATTTAGATAAAATTTGGTAGGCTCATTTATCATATTAATATCTCAAATCTGACCACAGGATTTTAAAAAATACCTCAAAAAAAAATTTTTATCGTCTTTTTTCCAAAATTTTTTTTAATCAAAAAAATTTTTAAATAGAAAAATTTAAGGTTATATATAATAAAATCGTATTCCTTACGTCAAGACAATTCGATCAGTATATATAAAGTATAGTTTCAATTTAAATTTAAAGAATTAATGAAAGTTAAAAAATCAAAAATTCACATTTTTAATATAAAATTTTGTGATTTTTTAAATTGAAGTTTATATATGAAATCATTGTATCCCTTGCATGAAAACGAATCGATTGGTATATATAAAGTATACATTTGAGGTAAATTTAATAAATTAATGAAAGTTAAAAAAAAAATTCCCATTTTAGCTGAAAAATTTTGTATTTATTTAAATTCAAGTTTAAATATAAAATAATTATGTTCCTTGCATTGAAACAAACCGATATAATTGTAAATAATTATAAATTATATATTATTTTTCATTAGATTTTAGAAATTTCAGCTAAAATGTGAATTTTTAATTTTTTAACTTCCATTAATTCTTTAAATTTTTCTCAAATCTATAGGTACTCAAATGTTTATATTATTATTATTATTATTATTATATTATTTTTGTATGTTTATTTCAAAGTTAATGCTTTCTCCACGAGGAAGCAAATATTTTTTTGCTGATCGTAAAGAGGAAGCAAAGTGTTCATGTAATGAACAAAATTTTTAATTGAAAAATAATTTAAGATAATTGAATTTGTGAAGAATTTCATTAAAATTATTAAAAATAATTAATTTAAAGAAAAATTTTAGTTAAATTTTTTTTTTGAATAATTGAATTAAAGAAGATCTACATAGTATAATAAAAAAGACGTAATTTTTTTTTTTTTTTGTTTTAAATATAAAAAAAAAGTCGAAACAAGTCGTATTTTCGAATAAAAGTCAGAAAAAGTCGAAAATATCGTATAATCCCAGTTTTTAACACCTCATATATGTATTTTAAATTCATATTTTACAATTAATAATTAAATTTTTAATAAAATTCTTTTCATTTCGTGATTTTGATAATTTCAAAATCATTCCTGTAAAGTATTATAATTTTTCAAAAATTAATCAGCAACGACTTTCGTCGAAATATAATGAATTGACACAATAGAAATTATTATTATTATTATTATTTTTTTTTTTTTGAGAAGCCAATTTTTAAATAAATTATCAAAAAGACTAAAATTTTGAATTTGACATCTCTAAAAATGAGAATGTCAAAAATTATCTGAAAAATCAAAATGGAGGTGAAAATGAACTATACCTATATTGAAAAAAAAGACTTTCATTTTAGGGGGAAAAATTGTGAAAAAAATTATTTTTCTCAAATCGAAAATTTTTGTGATGAAAGAAAAAAAAATTGATTCTCTTACCCAGCGATACGGTGAAAGATGCTGTGGCGAGTAGAAACGATCATCAATCGAAGAATAATTTGGACTGTGCATTGGCGTTGAGGTTACGGCAGTCATTTTTTCAAGCCTTTCCAATTTACGTTTTCTTACTTTACGCTTGCGATTTTCCCTTAATTCGTCCAACATTCGATTCACTTGAACTTCGTTGCCACTCTTTAAGGCTTCCAAAAAATCAACTAATAATTCTTTCTATTTTAAAATCATAGAAAAAAAAAATGAATCAATTTACCGACAATACCTCCCTACACACGAGTATATAGATAGATATATAATATTCTCATAATCTGAACTCGATTTACACGCGCGAGCGCCAATCCTCAAAAATTATAAGAAAACAAATGCTTTTAGTAAATAATTATTACCTTGATATTTCCAGGAATTTTATTTTTCGCAGCAAGAGCTTGTAGTTCCTTATATGACAATTTTGAAAAATCTTCGTTCATATTTCAACAATGCTTCTTATCAATACACTTTTCAAGAACTACCTTTTGTCTAAACCTGCGTGATGTCCAATTAAATTTGGCTATTACTTTATTAGTGTGTGAATGGCATATATTGATATAAATCATTGTATGTGTGAGTAAAAGAATTTCTCGCGCAAAAATTGTCGTCTGCTCTAATAAAAAATTTCGTATAATATTGTGGATTTGGAATATAAAATTTCTTTGAACTCGATCTTTTTTTAATATTTTGTAATAATTTTCATTTGATCTGCTATGATTTGATTAACATGACGAATTTTACTTTCTTTGTTTATTTAATTTATTAAAAAGCCTTTTGGAGATTTTTGAGGAACTACGCACAGTTTGAAGTTTCACAGTCGCAATATAAAATTTAATTATACGAATATGTAATATAAAAAAAAAATTATCTGATTTATTGAAGAACAGATGATTCATCATAAATATATACGTGACAGGTATGAGTTGAAATTAAAATCAAATATTTTTATGGAAAATTTAGGGTTTTTCAAATTTTAAATATCTTTGTCTTACATTTTTATATTTATTACATTAATATATTTATAGTAATAATATAGTTAATATAGTATTTTTAATATAGTTTTATTATAAACATGTATATTTAAACAATTTGTTAGAGTATTTAATCATAATTATTTTCTTTGAGATTTAATTTTTTTTTTAAATTATAGTAGTAAATAATTTTTTCTTACCTTTATTGTTATTAATAACTTAATAATAAATTTAAAAACTTGAAATAAATTTTACTGGATTTTTAGTTCACTTTGAAGTATTTTTTTTTATTAACAAAAATGAATTCTTAAATATTGAAAATATCGTATACTGTAAGCACAAAAATATTTCCAATAACGCATTTTTTTTTCGAATATCAATATTTTTCAAAATAATATAGATAATTTTTTATTATAAATTAAATTTTTAACCTTAAACAATTTTCTATTTAAAATTTATGTCCTTGAAGAGTTCAAAATTATAATTAAATTCATAAAAAATGTTATTAAAAATAAAAATTATTTTTCGTGACAAAAATAGGTAATAAAATTTTTTGCTTTGAAATTTTTTTTTTTTTTAAATATATTGATTGAGAGAAAAGGTGGAAAAAAATTTTCAAACAATAAATACATCGATGAAGTTTACAACGTTTATGATAATTACCAAACGATTAAATATAAAAAATATTTTTCTCGATGAAAATATGTAGAATACAATTTTTTTTTTTCATTTATTGATCGAGAAACGTTGCAAAAATTTTTTCACAAAAAAAAAAAATATAGAAAAAATTATAATTATTTACATGGAAAAATATATATTTTATTCTTAATCGTTAATAAAACGTTGTGAATTTCATTGACGTTAAAATTCTAAAAAAAGAAAAAATTGTACCTGAATAATTTTACTAAATAATATTTTTTCTAAATTTTTTACGTTTTTTTTGATGATGAAAAAAAATAATGAAAATAAAATAGTTTTTTTAGCGCTTAAATAAAAAAAATTTTGTGTAGTAAAATTTTTGTAGCAAATTTTGATTTTTTTAATACAATTTTTTAATTAAATTTAATTTTAATTGTAATTCAATTGAATTTACTTTTTTTCGTGGGTAGTAAAATAAATTTAGAGAACCTTGAGAAATTTTTTTTTAAAACCGTATAAGAAACCTTGAATTTGATTCTCAAATTTTAATGATCACCCCGATTAAGTATATATAAATATCTTTATAATATTTATTTAAAATTTTTTTATTGTTTCTCTAAAAAAGTTATTTTAAAAATTAGAAAGAAATGAAAACTGAAAATTTCGATTTCTTGAATATTAATTTTACTTCAGTTTTTTTCTCTCTCTCTCTCTCTCTCTCTAAAAGTAATTACATTGATTATTATTTAACTGCTAATTAAATTTCTCGTTCTTGCGATTTAATAATATAACATTTTTTTTTTGTATTAAAATTCTGTATTTTATTTTTATATATTTCTCTTTTTTTTGTAGATATATTTATTAATGAATTTGAAAATCGTTGGCCTCTATAAAAATGTTATTTATCATCAATTAAATGGATTTGAAATGATGCGATTGACGTTAATAAAGGGGTTACAGTTTGGAAAAGTAAAACCATATATGACGTGAGTTTGCGCGCAAGCACAGAATCCTGTGCTTTTGTATAACATTCAGTGGAACATCGTGAGAGCCAAGTGTCGGACGTTATCATCCCTCTTCAAATCTTTAAGTGTTGACGGCAAATTATTATCTCAAAGAGACAAGGATCTTGAGCTGATTTTTTTTTAATTTCCCTTTCATTTTTTTTTTTTGGAAAGGTAAATTTTCAAAAGGCATTAAAGTAAAGAGCCTTTAGGCTCTTTGCATTTATTTATTCAAGATTGCACTACCATCAGATTCACCTCGAAAAATGAAGGCACGGAAAAGCCGTGAGAAAAGTAAGTCTAATCCCATACATGCTGCTCTGCTTACACACACATATACACACACATAAATAAGCTTTAAGTCCAAAAATACAATGTCGATAAAATAAAAGTCAATCGATTTAAAAAAAATATATATTATTAATATTATAAAAACTATATTTTATATAATATACAAAATTAAAATATAGAAAAGATTTTTTTTTTTTTGAAAAATTAGAAATAGTAGAATAAAAATTGCTTTTAATATATAAAATCAGAAGTAGGTGAAAAAAAATATATAAATTAAAATAGCTCACAAATAACTGATAAAGTAATTTTATGATTAATTAATTTTCTTTAGATAGAAATTTTTATCTCGTTATTAAAATTCTTTTAGAGGGAAAAATTAATTATATCCAATTACAGTTAATTTAATCACATGAAACAAAATGAAAAAAATATTTATTTAGGTCTTTTGTTTGTCATGTTACAGTTGAGATGGAGAATAAAGGTTATTTAAATATTTATAAAAATATCTATGAGAATTAGTAATAATAGAGGAAGCATGTCATTGAAAATTGAAATTTTATTTTTTGAAGTAATATTCATTTTATCATAAAAAAAACTTTTCAAACTCTGTGTTTAGTTTCGAATCCTTTTTTTTTTTACTGTAAATTCAATTTCTTTTTTTTTAAACTTCGAAGTAATTTTGATCATAAACCCAAAAAATTTTGTGTTTTCAAGTATTTATCATTTTTTTTTTATTTTACAAAAGAAATTTAAATATACTTTTAATTTCAAAGTTAAATTAAAAAATTTGAATTTTTTTTTTACTTAGAAAACTTTTGAATATAGAAATTGATTCAATTACCACGCAATTTTAATTCTCGAATTTTAAACTTGAAAATTGAAAAGAATTTAGAGAATAAAATTGATTTATTTTTATTTTTTTTTTATATTTATCAAATTTTTTTGTAATGGTCAAAGGGAATTTTTCATAATTTTAAAAACTATTAATAATATTTAATCAATTTCAGGCCTCGGATTATATGACTTTTTCCGACTTTTTTTGGTTTATTTTAATAAAATGCGACTTTTTCGACATTTTTTTTACATTTTTTTTACAAAATCTTTCAACAAAATACGTTTTTTTTAGTATACAATGCAGATCTTGTTTAGATCTTCTTTATTTCAATTATTATTTAACAAATTTTTAAATAAAAATCTTCACTAAATTAATTATTTTTAATAATTTTTATGAAATTCTTTTTTTAAATTCAATTATCGTAAACTATTTCTCAATTAAAATTTTTATGAAATTTAATAATTATTTATAATTTTTTAAAAATTAGCAAATAAAATTACCAAAAATTTTTAATTTAAAATCACTTGAAATTTAATTATTTGCAAAAATTTCAATTATTTTTAATGACTTTTATAATATTCTTCGAAAATTCAATTATTTGAAAACATTTTTCAATTTAAAATTTTTTCAAGTTCAATTTTTATCTTTAATTTTGACTAAATTCTTCATCAACAGAAATCACGAAAAATTTCTCTTATTATAATTATTGTCTGAAATTTAACACAATCTTTTGAAATTCAATTATTTTCGAAAATTTCAATTTAAAAGCTTCTAAAATTTATTTATTTCTAAAATTTTTTGAAATTTAATAATTTCAATTAGGGTAAATGCAATAATTGCGTCGCGATTCAAGTCAAAACACCTTTGAAATAGAAAATTCGACATTTTTCTATTTTATAAACTCAATTTAAGACTTATTAAACAAAAAGTTTATGTTATTAATTTTTTATAAGTAATTGTATCAAAAAATGATTGAAATAATTTTTTTTAATTATTTGGCAACAGTTATATTAAATATTCTTAGAATGATAAGAGGGTATTCGAATAAAGTAAAACGTGATTCATTAAACTTGATATATTTGGATTAGAACAAGAATTAAAATCGATAGATATTAACCGCATGGATGCGACCATCGAACTAACCTCACAGCAACTTATGCGTTAATGTATCATATGACATTTCTTAAGTTTCCTATTGGTTCAAAAGTAAAGTGATTTTGCGCATGACATTAATATTTGAAAGATTGATATAAAATCTTAATAGATCGATACTTGAACAATTTAGTTAAATATAAAAAAGATCAGAACTTGTAGTTCTTACACTTCCCCTCAAGTGAGAGTCTCTAATAAAAAAAAATCACTTAAGTTGTTGCAAGCCAGCTGATGTTGCACAGAATAACATTTTTGCTTTACAGAGTCCCTTGGTAAGAAAATCAGCTACTTGCTTCTCACTTGGGATATACTTTACTGAAAAAAGTTTCTTATTTATCACTTCACGAATGAAATGGTGGCGAATGTCTATGTGTTTGGTTCTCGCGTGAAATGTCGGGTTTTCCGCCAACGAGAGACAACTTCTGTTGTCACACCATACTGTCAAATCACCGAGATCAGCAAATCCTAGTTCCTGGACAAGTCGTTGAAGGTATATGGCTTCCTTCACGCATTCAGCCATCGCCATATACTCGGCTTCTGTCGTCGATAGAGCCACAGTTTTTTGTTTACGTGAGTCCCAAGAAATAGGTCCACCTCCCAGCATGAACACATATCCAGATTGAGACTTCCGGTCCTCAATGCAGCCACCCCAGTCTGCATCCACGAATCCTTCAATTGGTCCGGGTTGCTTCTTGAAACGGATTCCCACGTCAGCTGTTCCCTTAAGGTACCGAAGTACTCGCTTTGCGGCCTTCCAATGCTCAGTTCCGTAGCAATTGTTAAATTGACCAAGTTTACTGATCGTGTAGGAAATATCGGGACGGGTCGTCACAGACAGATATGTAAGAGCACCCACTAATTCTCGATAGGGGAGCTTTCGATCATCGTCATTTACGTTGTCATTTTTCTTTAGTTTAGTTCCGAGGTCCATTGGCGTACTGACCGGATTGCATTCGGTCATTTCGAATCGCTCGAGCAGTTCGTGAATGTATCCTTGTTGGCACATTGTCACCTCATTTTTCGTTTGAGTAAATTCCACGCCCAAGCAGTATTTTGCATCGCCTAGGTCCTTAGTTTCGAACTCAGAGGACAACATTCTTTTGAAATCATTAATTCGCTTTTCCTTTTTAGCGGCCACCAAAATGTCATCCACGTAGACAACAACCAGCAACAAGTCTTCACCTTTTCCCGATTGAAACAAACAAGGATCTCCTTTCGTCGGATTAGCGTTGAACTTCCTCAAAACTCCGTCTAATTTCTTGTACCAGGTCCTTCCAGCCTGTTTCAGGCCGTACAACGATTTCTTTAAAAGACACACTTTATCTCCAGAGTTGAAATCATTTAGCATTTTCTTTGCTGTCCTCCCTATTTCACTATCACCTTCGTTGTCGATCACGTATTGCAGATAGTCTTTGAAATGTTTTGGGGGTTCCATCATGATTTCTTCTTCCAATTTTCCGTTGAGGTACGCTGATTCAATGTCGAATTGCTTAATTTTCAAATCAAGCTTCGCAGCGAGAGATGCCATCAGTCGGATTGTGCTGAAACGAGCTACTGGAGCGAATGTCTCGTTGAAGTGTATTCCAGGTTGCTGGCTAAAGCCCTGGGCTATTAACCGTGCTTTTCTTCTTTCTATTGTGCCATCTGGATTTACCTTGTTTCGCAGAATCATTCGACTTCCTATGACCTTGGAGCCTTCCTTCGGACGTTCTGTTAGAATCCAAGTCTTCTTCTTAATGAGTGATTTCATTTCAGCAGCAATAGCAACGTGCCACTCGTCAGAATCTCTTCCCCTCAAAGCTTCATTTATTGATATTTCAGAAAGGAAGGTTTGATCTTCGACTTCCATCACACTATCTCCTTCGGCACTTGCGGGTTGATTTTTCTCCAAATGAGCACTACTTCTCAATCCGCTTCTCGTTCCGGTTCTCGGCTTGTCATTTGGAGGTCTGACGTTGGATTTGCTTCCTTTTGGTCGTCCTGGCTTCTTTTTGTCTTCCCCTGGTGTTGATTTTCTCATCTCGTCTTCGGTTTCGATGTTAACGTCTCTTTCGGGTTGCTGTTCTTCTTGTATCACAGGATCGGTTACAGTGTTATCATTGAATCCACGAAAGTCTTCTTCGATAGAGTGCCAATCGTCTTCATTTTCGTAGTCACTTGTTTCGATGTTATCATTCGGTGTTGTTTCGTGTTCCAATGTTGTAAAACGACGTTCGGTTTCATCTTTGTTGCCTTTTGATGAGATATTTGTTTTATCCTCGTCCGCAGACTCGTGTTGAATTTTTGTGTCCTCAAGAAACTTCACATCCCGGCTCACAATTACTTTTCGTTTTTCAGTTGACCAGACTCGGAACGCCTTTGATTCTTCCGAGTATCCTAGGAACACTCCTTCGTGGCCTCGCTGGTCAAGTTTGCTTCTTCCGGGATCTCGATCCAAATAATAAACTTTAGTTCCGAAGATTCTCAAATTTGACACATCCGGCACAGTCCCCGTCCACGCCTCGTATGGGGTTTTACCGTTCAGACTTTTTGCAGGTAGTCGATTTCTCACATAATTGGCAGTGTTTACCGCTTCCGCCCAAAAATGATTTGGTAACTTTGCATCCATCAACATGCATCTTGCTGTGTCCAAGAGTGTCCTATTTTTTCGTTCAGCAGTCCCGTTCTGCTCTGGGTTGTGTGGTACCGTTAGCCTTCTCGAGATTCCTTTTTGTTTCAGATAATTGTCAAATTTCGTGTTGACGTACTCACGCCCATTGTCCGATTGAATGGTTTTGACACTTTTGCCTTTCTGTCTTTCTACCAAGGCCACATATTCTTTAGTCGTTTCGAACACTTCCGCTTTTGACTTCAGGAATCTTATTTCACAGTACTTGGAGTAATCGTCGATAAATTCGATGTAATACTTCGCTCCACCGAGTGAGGTTGATTTGATCGGGCCCCACACGTCCGTGTGAATTATTTGTAGAATATCAGATTCGCGGTTAGACTCCTTAGGGAATGGGGTTCTTGTCATTTTTCCTTTAAGGCAAATTTCACAGTCGAAGACAGTTTCAGTTTTTTCGAGTTCCACACCTGTCACTGCACCTTTTCTAACAGCTTCACGAATGTCTTTTAAATTCGCGTGTCCGAATCGTCTGTGTAAAATCTCGATCGTAGTTTTACACACTTTTGAATTTGAAACCGCACAAACACTTTCCCGAGCTTCCTTTACGTAATACAAATTGCCTATTCTGTTCGCACAAAGTTTAATGTCACCTTCTGTATCGAGAATTTTTGCGCATTTATTGTTGAACACAACACTGAATCCTTGATCCGTGATTTTAGACACTGACAATAAATTAGTTCTTAAATCGGGAGCGTGTGACGTATTCGCGAGCGAAATACACTTTAAATCACCATTCACATTGGCCGTAAACTTCACAATTCCTTTTCCGAGAGTTTCCGATGTAGAGTTGTTTGCCAAATTTAACACTCCGCGATTAGAGTCCGTA